ACACTAAATGTAAAGTGGAGATTTACATCAAGAATTTATTTATCCAAAAGGATGTTACACAGTGGTCACTGTTGGTAGAAGATTTGCACAATTTGACAGAAACTCATCCAAAAGGTGTTTTATTCGGAGTCATAAACATGACTTGAATGATGTCGCGTGCTACCTTTCGAAATGTGTTGTTCCTTGAGGATCACCATATGGTATAAGGGACATAACTCTTCATGCTGCCTAGCAACAACGTGACGTCGACACACTGTGACACCGGCAATAACGCACTTGACGCATGTAGTTCAAATTCTGACTGAGTTTGGTTTCCGAGCTATAAAAAATAGAGATTATTAACCGAGTGTGTTCCCGTATTATTAATATCATATATTAGGAATAAATAATATGTGTTATGCTCGACAAAGGCTCGCATATTACATATTTTTTATTCGTGATATATCATAGCAATGATACGGAAACACCCGAGGTTAATAATCTCTTTATCATATAATGTCATTTGTAACATTACTCTAAAAAAAAAAAGTAGCAAATCGCACGTGAATTATTATGAAGAGAATCGAGCATTTGCGTAAGAATACTTAGCGGTACAACAAGGTGAAGGTCGTTCATGACGGCGGCATATGGTTGTGACTAGTCTCTAATATAGTGCAAACATAACTCATGCTTAAAATAAGACCTTTCTTCCTAAAAAGAACAACAAAATCGGGCATGGTTTTTAAAGGCAGTGTTTCTATTTTCATTGCGGGCAATCACCTCATCAATATCAGTTTCTGATATCTGCTTTGTTGTGATCGATAGATCGAAATCCTTTCTTAGATGATCGCCTTTCACTCGTGTCTCATAATCCGTACATTCAATCTGAACGCAGTTTCATGTTTTCCAAAGTCAATTACTGCAGTAACGACTCCAAAACCTCTGTCATCAATTCTTACAGAATCACCAATGTTGATAATGGGGGCAGCCATGTTTGTTTACAAACTCGTCCACGCAATGTAAAACAATAAAATGTTGACGTTTTAGGATTCGCATGGCGTGTATGGAGTTTTGTGAAAGTAGTTCGTGGATTGACGTATTTTGCATAGTTATCAGATTTGAATACTAAGTTTATCAGATTGCTGTATTGGACCGATAACACCCTCCATTAGATGATAATCTAAAATATGCTTCCACGATAAACAACGAGGAGAGTTCTATGTATACACAACTTCTTTAATGTAATATGAGCGACATTTCGGTGTAGCTATTAACACCGTTATCAAGCAATTGAGGTGGCAGTATCATGTCGATAACGTGGATGAAAGACCAGGATTCAGCTGGGATGCAGAGCTGGTGACTCTTGGTCTACGCTTCTCGGGCTATCTTGGGTTGTATCGTCTGTAGTGATGCTGGTCAATGCTGCCGTACCTTGATATGACTTACACTCACAGACCTGAAAAAAGGACTCTCCACCTTCAAGACGTTCCAGGGCAGCATTTATTCTCGGCTTTTTCTACCTTCCAGTAAGTCTACAAATGTATGTCAAAATGCAGACGTATCTTTGACCTTACAGTCAGTGTCACTGCACATGATTGCTAACCGTGAAACTCCTGGTTAGAATTGGTCTTCAGCATCCAATGCTTGTCATAAGAGGCAACTAACGGGATCGCCTGACCAGACAGGCTCGCTAAATGTTCGTGATGTTTATCACAAGATTTTGTGTGGTCCAGACTCGATTATTTACACACCGCCGTTATGCAGCTGGGCACTTGCTGATTGTGGCGTTCATCAACAAACAAACAAACAAACAAGAACATGATTGTCCACTCTACGATTCACAGTTCTATACACAATAAAATATCATTATAACGAACACAAAGGGACCACAGATTTTATTTCGTTATAACCGTAGTTCGTCATACGCAGTGACCGCTCCGGGTTTGTTGTGTTCGTCAGTCCGTTTTAACCGTAGTTTCATACGCAGTGACCGCCCCGGGTTTATTGTGTTTGTTGTTTTCGTCATACGCAGTGACCGCCCCGGGTTTGTTGTGTTCGTCAGTTCGTTTTAACCGTAGTTTCATACGCAGTGACCGCCCCGGGTTTGTTGTGTTCGTCAGTTCGTTTTAACCGTAGTTTCATACGCAGTGACCGCCCCGGGTTTGTTGTGTTCGTCAGTTATTTTAACCGTAGTTTCATACGCAGTGACCGCCCCGGGTTTGTTGTGTTCGTCAGTTCGTTTTAACCGTAGTTTCATACGCAGTGACCGCCCCGGGTTTGTTGTGTTGGTCAGCTCGTTTTAACCGTAGTTTCATACGCAGTGACCGCCCCGGGTTTCAACCGTAGTTTCATAAACACTAACGCGTGTTCATGAAACAAGGTGCAACTGTCTTTATCTCCCGGGCAGCACTGTTCTTGAGGTCCGACTCTCTTTATCTCCCAGATGGGATAAAAATCCGGAGGTCCGACTGTCTTTATCTCCCGGGTGGTACTGTTCTTGAGGTCCGACTCTCTTTATCTCCCAGATGGAATTAAAATCCGGAGGTCCGACTGTCTTTATCTCCCGGGTGGTACTGTTCTTGAGGTCCGACTATCTTTATCTCCCAGATTGAATTAAAATCCGGAGGTCCGACTGTCATCATCTCCCGGGTGGTACTGTTCTTGAGGTCCGACTCTCTTTATCTCCCAGATTGAATTAAAATCCAGAGGTCCGACTGTCATCATCTCCCGGGTGGTACTGTTCTTGAGGTCCGACTATCTTTATCTCGCTGATGGAATTAAAATCCGGAGGTCCGACTGCCATCATCTCCCTGGCGGTACTGTTCTTGAGGCCGTTTGGCACTGGCCCAAAGACCACCATTTGATCATCAGCATCTCAATCTGGTGCCATCTTTGAAGTTGCTTGAAGTATGGACATACATCGGTATCAGGTAGTTCATGACCACTGTGTGGAGCCAGCCCACATATCGCCGCTGCAACAATGGAACCAGTGGACACACACTCAGGTCAACTACATCAATATAAACCAGGCGCGAGAGTTTTGTCAGGAAGCAAATCGATCTCGGAGAAAGCTAAAAGTTGAATATTCAGTAATGCTGAGAGTGTTGCTTTCCTGTGCATTCAGAAAATATTCCATTACTGGTCAGTCTCTCTAATACCAGACAAACCAGTGGTCTATATTATGAGCACACACACACACACACACACACACACACACACACACACACACACACACCGGGTACTTCAGCCGAAGGCACCTTCACGTAAGGAATCGTTACATCATTGACAGTATGAGATAACAGCTCGTTGAATTGCATCAAAATCAGAACATGACGTTTGCCATTACACTTTGACGTGAAACTATATACTAGTTTTATATGCAGCACCGTCGGGGATGTTTTAGGTTCTCAACATAATTATCAGAATATCATGCCAATCAGACTGCTCACTATTAGCGGCGGGTCGTTGACGTGACAAATTGAATCGCAAATCTGAACGGCATCACCTGAAATGCAAGTGAGCTCGTGTCAATGATGACATCACCCGGCTGGGTGCGATGTCATGAAACAAATGCATATGCTCGTTCGTGTGCATTTGTTTAGAAAGTGAATGTAAGAATATCTGTGTGTAAAGTGTATGGGCTGGTGTTCACGAGTGTCTCTGTGTATGTGTTGAGTGGACTACTGAACCCAGCAACGCTTTAACCCGCAGGCCATTTTGTCTGTGTTCAGTCGAGACGGGCAATCATTCACAGACCAAAACCCAGCTCCATTCCTGTGGTGACAACATGGGCAAGATATGTTTGAATTCTTATATTGAACCATGATGACTTGCGACTGTTCACGTCTAGCGAGGACACCGCCTGATCTATCTGACATTCGCTACACGCACTCACACAATTCCCTAAACCTCTGTAGTCGCCATGACGACGTTGCGGCCCCATTACACTTCCTTAACAGGGTGATAAGGTTCAACATATTGAAGTTAGTTGTTATTATCATGTTTTCACCAATAGAAACACCAATCCTCGCCCTGCGTGACCCGGTGCCACCCCAACCGATCCGCTTACCAGTGATGTCTCGTCGATACGTGACTAGAACGAGACTTGTAGAACATTATCCACCCCCCTTCATCATTATCTCCCCGACATGTTTTTAGCAGCTCTTGAGATTATGATACATCCGGGTTATCACACGAGGGCAGACGACACATCAAAGACTATGGCCGCGCAAACAAATGACAAGAAATGATTGACGTCTGCTTCAAAGTGACGTTTAACTAAGCGACTAGGACCTGCGAGAAACATCTCGCGGTGGCCTAGACATTCAACCGCATATTCGCTCACAACACACACAAATCACCAAGGAGTTGTGTGTAGAGAAAGAAAGAAACAAACCGACTGATCGCGTGCTGGTAGGTGGTGATAAAACCAGATGGATGGCCGTAACTGTAGCACACGTACAGGTTATCATCTGATGGGCACACCATATACACCACTCGTTCTCACGGGCTACAGAATGCCATACTGGGGCTATCTTACTGTCAAGGACGGTTCATGTCATACGCCCATCTCATTAACCCTTCGTGAACCTGGACTTGCAGAAGCGAGAACCAACCTCTGATATGGACAGGCACAAGGCTGAAGGAAACGCAGTGTCCGATATATAGAATCCAACAAGGTTTCATGGAACCGCGAGGACAAATGACCGTTCTAATCACATCCTGATGCATGATGTCAGTCACTCTTGCCAGTTGCGAATCATGTCGCCATCAGACATTCTACCTCCGCTGTGTTGTGACGGCGGCTAAGGATGCCACTGGTGTAATCATAGGGTACAGGGCCCCGATCCACAGAGCGTTCGTAACGCTACGTCATTCGTAAGCCTATGATAAACTATAGAGTTACGACAGGTCGTAATGTTACGACGCTTTGTGGATCGGGGTCCTGCTCTCTACAGCTTATATGTTTTTTTTGAGAGTTGAACACTGTATTTTTTCAATGAACCAACAAAATCGATACAGTCAGTTCACACTATTTGTATTTGTAAAATCCATACAGAAACGGTATATAACAACGTCACTCTGTGGTTTTAATCGGATCAGATCAACAAAATAATCGAGACATTCTGACTGTCCGACAAATACAAATGTCTGGTCACTCGGACTGGGATTCGCTGGAGTTTAACCCCTCACCTTTCATTCTCACCAGACGCGGGGAGCGGGAACGACGCGTTTTACTTCCCCGGCTGTGTCTTTTTGCGGAGCTACTTTTCGAGTAGTTCCTTGGCCTACATAACAGCGGCAGCAGACGACTGGGGAAACTGGATTGGCTAGTCAATGTGTCATCGTCTGCTATGACATCCTGACCACTTCGACCTGCAGGTGATGTCACTGGCTCCGTGTGTTTGGAGCCATGTCGGAGGCTGTTTTTCGTGTACATGGGCATTCTCGAGGAATGGCTGGAGAATGTCTTCACGTTGGGAGACGCCGAGGAGTTTTTGTTACGGCCCCCAACTCGGGAGGGGCAGCTTATTGCGTCTCGGAGAGACACTTGGGACTGATCCGACAGGTCAGCAGCAGAATCCGAATGCTGCTTCTCCCTCCGGGACTTGAGATACAGTTCCGCTAGACTCCGGATAGAGCTCCGGGCCTTGGCCACGGAACTGCTCCTAGACAGACTCCTTAATATGTTTCGCAACTCTTCTCTGTTCTCCTTTTTCTCAGCCTCACCTACAACACATATATCATCATCATCATCATCATCATCATCATCATCATCATCACCTTAAACTGGACGTGATATTTATGTTTATTGATCATCAGATCAGTAGGTAAGCGGCCGGTGGTCACACCAAACATATGGGTTCGATTTCTCAACATAGGTGCCGTAGGTACCAAGTCAGCATACGGTCCTCGGATAATGCGACAAGCAAGGGGTACAAACGATCAGGCCCTGATTTCTCGAAACAAACTTAAGTTTTTACTCAAATTCCAAACTGAGTTTGACAATTTGAAACACCTAAATTTTTAACGCAACAATATTTTTATAGATAAAAAAACCCAAGTTAAGTAATTTATCCACCAAACTCAAATTGTCTACTATGTTTGAATTTAATATCGATTTCAGTTGATTCTCTGAAATGCATTTCCTGCGGGGTTTTTTAAAATTTGAGTCAAAACTCAGTTTCGAGAAATCGGGGCCTGTTCAACACGAGGTAGATCATACATACTCACTGCATATACATACTCACAAAGGTGTACATACTCACTGCATATATCTTCGTCTACTGAGGATGCATAACTTAACCACCTGCGGATTTCAACTTACATTTGTTTAAATATTGATTGACCTTCGCATTAAAAGATCTTCGGTGTGTGGGTTCAATGTCAAGGTCATTCAAAAGTTCATCGTATTCAAGGTCGTCCTGTTGTTTGCCATAGCAACAACAGAAGAAGCTGAGGCAGAGTTCGTTGCTAATTGCGACTGTACTGGGAGGTGGAATCGCGTCGGTCTCGCCTCGTTTCAGCTGGGCAATGTACACTTTGAGAAGACGGGACCTGGAAGTACAGGGAGTGGTGCCGGAACATTTACCTGTCTATTACACCGAACAGTATATACTCACTGGCTAACAGTCAAAGGTAGCCAGTACACAAACTGAGAAATATTTCAATGCGACTGTTTTCAAGGAATTAAAAACAAATACTGTATCGGGAATAGGATGTCATTAAGATCTTGTTATTTCATTTGCTAATATATATAAATATAGATAAACTGGTTACATGATTCGAAATTTGTTGAAATATAATTTTAAACGATGCAAAGAGGCTACTGTGTCACCTTCAGCCCAGCCAATATCATCACAGAAAAAGATGGGTATGAATGATACATGCGTGTGAGGCATTATATGAACAGACTACTGCTAGCTGTATGCAACAGGATGTAACCCATGTTAAGACCCGGGCCTACTACACAGTATACACTGCCTTGGGGAAACAAGTATTACGGTTGGCAATGCTCTTAAATGCTCTCTTTTTTCAAATTACATAAATGAGTCACTGCGGAATCGAAACCAACTTACCCAGTTACCCAACTTCTCATACATATAGTTTCCTAGTTACATACCCGGTGTTTCAAAGTAACATACCCAGCAGTTCACGGTAACATACCCAGCGTTTCATAGCAACATAAATAGTGCTTCTTGGTGACATACCCAGAGGTTCACGGTAACATACCCATCGTTTCATAGCAACGTAAAGAGTGTTTCTAGGTAACATACCCAGAGGTTCACGGTAACATACCCAGAGTATCATAGCAACGTAAAGATTGTTTCCATGTAACATACCCAGAGGTTCACAGTAACATAAAAAGTGTTTCTAGGTAATACACACCGAGCGTTTCATAGTAACATACCAAATGATTAATTATATCATGTCTAGTTAAAATTGTGTGTGTGAATGCAGGCCCTGCTCATGTCTGTGAATAAATATAGCTGGGAGTATACTGAAGGCAACCTTCAAAGTTGACTGGCTTCAGACAGTTCATTGGTGGGTATGAGGACAGAAGGTATGTGGGCCGTCTTATCTAGGAAGTACCTTGGAGGAGAATGTGTTGTCGGTTAATGACCCTCCCTATCTGAGGGTTCTACAGATAGGGGGATGCACTGCCACATCGGGGACACACCTCAAATGGAGGTATGCAGTATTTATAGCGAAAGGTATCTAAACAAAAGTACAACAGCAGTATATTGATTTTCATTCATATCTTCCCATCCTTCTCATCTGTATTCCCGCTCATGCATGCACAGCCACCTCCACATTATCGACCACTAACACGTCCCAAACATAATCATTTATTAAACCACTTCAATAATTGAGTTGACGTGCGCGTTACCGTAAGCTAGATACCCTTCTGTTCGCTGTCTATGTAAGGGAACTATCTTCACTTGCACGACATGTGGCTTAAAAACGGGCTCTACACCACTAATCGCCTGACACTGCAGTTGCTTCATTGAGGGACAGTTGCACGATTTCCTCGTCAGTTATATTAATTTAAAAACCACTAGCAGAGCACAGGGGAGATAACTCACGCTCCATCGTGAATGTGGTTTTCATTTTGTCAGTTTCGGCTTAAAACGGGTTTTACTAATTTCGACACCTTTCTACTGTTGTTTTTCCAACTGCTGTTTAATGTACTATACTACATACGTCCACTAGTAAGCCAGCAGGTGTCCGGGCGACTCAGCGACCCAACACCTTTGCTGATCAGGTGTAATCAGGTGTGCATCCTGATTCATTTAATGGTAAATTATGGCACCAGCTCCTGGAGGACACCGTCGCACATGTCCTGAATTGCGAAAGTAATTTAGCTACCTTGGTGAACACGACTGGCAATATCTCAAGGTGAGTGAGTGAGCTTAGTTTCACAATTCATAGATCAACAGCATGACAATCGATCTACGCAGTTTGGATACGATGACATAATATCTTAAAGATGCCAAACAGGCATGTCTGCTGAGGTTTCCGTTTAGGAAAAGAAAATGAACTCCCAAGACATCATCTTGTCTCTTTTACGATATTCCACCATTTTCCATTCAGGTAATATGTTTGCATACAGAAAAAAACCCAGCATAACGTGTACTTGTTACACCCCTAGGTTTGCTAAAAAATCCTAAAATCTAGTACTCACATTCATCATTTGTCACAAACTGTTTGACAAGATAAATAGACCTGTACCCTCACTGGAAGGCTTCTACCCAGCTCTCCACCCCTCCCCACCCTCCTCCTGCTCCTCCTCCTCATCATCACAACCTCACCTTTTTCTGGACACCCGGGCGCAGTGTACGATGATCGCTAGCAGGGTCACCGCTGCCCCCACCACGCCTCCCAGGAGAAGCAGCTGGTTGAGGCTTCCTGTGAACTCTTTACTTGCAGACCTTGCACGGACACCATCTAGATCACAGGCAGTAAGTTCGGGCATTAACATTTAGAACACAGTAACAATGTACACTTTGAGGACGAACTACTTTTTCATTTTTTTAGGTGCCAGCTATTTTCACTTTAACCTCAGGTTTTCATCTGTTCACCTCAAAACTAGATACCTTGAATTGGTGATACAAGCTGTTGATGTCTCTCCACTGTGTATGTGACTTCTAGAACACCGCCCGACTCTGTGGTCTAGTACACAGAGCGTCTACCTGAGGGCGGAGGTTTCGATACTCATCAGCACACTACAGACAAACTCTGGTATCGATGGTACTTGTTGTTCCCCTGCATTACGCTCGACAAGAGGGCCCACGCCCGTGCCTCACGCGCGCACACGCACAAACACACACACACGCACGCACGCACGCACGCACACACACACGTGTGGATGCAACGTTTACCCCTACTTTACCTTCCCTCCTTGACCAAACCAAACCAAAACCTCTCTTTAACTCGACTGCTGTACCTTCTTTGTCTGTAGATTGTCCAGAATCACCCAGCAGGCCATGATTGGTCGGAGGTGCATCTGTAGTCAAATACATGTACATTAGTACATACAATACAGCCGTTCAAAAAGCATCTCAAAAGCTACCAATTTTTCAAAATTGATACCACAAAAAACCTATGCTTCATCGGCTTACGAAGTTCGTGACAAATGGTGTGGTCTAAGGGAGGCAACTCTCCTGAACTTATCTCCTATAATGGAAACGGTGGCTTTGCACGCAGTCTGTGTACTGTGTACTATGGTTGGTCTGATCTGATTCCAACCTCGACCACGCGTGTAATGTTTGGTAACACTGCGGGTATTTTCTAAAGAGATACCTTCACGACACTTTTGAATATTTAAAGTCGCAGGACTGAACAGTTTAAACAAACCCTAAAAATTATGATGTAAATGGTCCGAAGTATGGTCGACAGGTAGGAGAATATCAGAGTTCGACTTCATAAAGCTGTTTTCCGTGTTCATAGTTTATCTAGGGATCATAACACACAGCCCATCATTTGATGACCACGGCCTCTTGTGATTCCTGATAACCATAATTACAAGACCCCTAGGAACTAGAACCAAATCCTTATTGTAGCATCAAGATGCTGAACACAATGACATGCCCATGCACCAATGACAAACGACCAGAAACAAACTTGTTCAAGGCATACATTTGTCACAACGACTTGAAGCATACCTAAAACATAAAATATCGCTAGGTCTGGTTCGCCACACCTCCCCCTGTCGTCGCACGGACTGGTGCATTGCTTTATGGGAACGCGAATGGAATCTTTCAGCCGGTGACCGCATCCGCACATCTGATAGTACAGCTGGAACAAGATTTAGTTTTAATGAGTGAGCGAGTGAGTCGGTGGGTGAGGGAGTTAGCGAGTGAGTCGGTGGGTGAGGTAGTGAGCGAGTGAGTCGGTGGGTGAGAAAGTGAGCGAGTGAGTCGGTGGGTGAGAAAGTGAGCGAGTGAGTCGGTGGGTGAGGGAGTGAGCGAGTGAGTCGATGGGTTAGAAAGTGAGCGAGTGAGTCGGTGGGTTAGAAAGTGAGCGAGTGAGTTGGTGAATGAGCAAGAGAGCGAGTGAGTGGGTTGGCAAGATTACTGTACAACCCTTGCTTGATTCAAAGGAATGAAAATATTCACATTTGCACTGGTGGAACAACATTCCTTAGAGAAAAGGTGATTAAAATGAAACAAACAATAACAAATTGAATAACGCTGGCTGATGTTTCATATTGACATAACTCGTATCCCTATTGCGTGGTTCGATGTTTATAATGTCTGGTCCAGACACGGTAATTTACAGACCGCACGACCGTCATATCGCTGGAACATTGATAGGGGCGGCGTTTAAAACAGTCAGACAAATCAGAATATTGTTAAGCTGCAAAATAACACATTAAATATGATAGAAAAGAGATATTCAATTTTTTATCATCTCTTAATGTTTCATCACTTTAAACATTTTCCTTTATTGCAATTATCATTATAAATGTAACGTATTTGTGCGCAGAATGGCATACCTGGATCGCTGCGAAGGTATATTTCCCCTTACTGCAGAGTGTCACACACCAACCATGGCCGGTTCCTTGATTATCAAATGGCCGTTGTGTGTAGCTCTTGAGAAGGACCGATTTGGACGGTTTGAAGCATCCAAGTTGTACTGCAACCAAGTGGGTTGCACTTACACCACACTTATTTAAAAGTATTTGTGTCAAGTATGTTTGATAGAGAATACGTTTACAAAGGCAGCATCACAAACTAGAAGACATTTGGCGTTCCCAGCATTATGTGAGTTGGTTTCACGTTACCTTTAGCAATATTTCAGCAACATTACTGTACGTAAACCAGAAATGGGTTTCACACAGAGTAACCTGGACCTGGGAGAGTGAACACTTTATCTTCAACCTAGTCTTCCCCTCTACATACATTTACTGTATATTAATGTTGTTAATTACCTGTTAATCAGTGTTACACTATTCGCAATTGCACTGTTACACCCAAATTGATAGGAACGGTAAAGGCAATATATAGACAAACATACCAGACGATACGTATAATAATACACATAATAGATTAAACCACGACCATTTAAAACATAATGTTTATTACAATTATACTGGGTCTGTAATTACTGCCTTTCTGAAACATGTCTCAGTCTAAGTAAACTTAGTCTCAGTACTATTCGTTACACTCCTCTACTGAGTCTAACAAACCCTAGTGGGAATTCGCGTCAGGTAACCTTTGAGATTGACCAATCAGAACACAGCTTACCAAATTGCGAAGGTGGACATTCGCACATATCTTTTTGAACTTTTACCTCGAAAAGGTTTTGTACCCGAACGATTCCGAATGCTATTTTCCGTACGATCGCTTCCGGGTGATGCACATGGAGCACGCTACAAGACCGTCAACAGTGAGTAAACAGTCGCTGAAAATAGCGTTTTTGTCAATATTCAAGGGTGTCAGCTTCGGAAATATTAGCTAATGGTAACCATGTAATTAGAAAGCCCTAAGCGTATATACTGCAGGTCAAATATCTGTGTTTTATGCGAATTGTCGTTTGTTGAGAGATTAGTGTCAGTGACTGGGGAATTTTGTAAGTCCCGCCGAACCCTATACAGTAGCCGTTGTCTGATTGGTTAAATCCGTTCGGCCGTCTCGCGTTTGATTGGACGGTCATAGGTCGCTCAAAGGTTTCCTGACGCGACCTCCTACTAGTGTTTGTTAGATTCAGGGGGCCGTGGGGTAGCCTAGTGGTTAAAGCGTTTGCTCGTCACGCCGAAGACCCGGGTTCGAATCCCCACATGGGTACAATGTGTGAAGCCCATTCATGGTGTCCCCCGCCGTGATATTGCTGGAATATTGCTAAAAATGGCGTAAAACCAAACTCAGTCAGTCAGTCAGTCAGTTAGATTCAGTGTAGGAGTGTAACGAATAATACTGAGACTAAGTTTACTTAGACTGAAACATGTCTGTACTGTCCTGCAAATAGACCCCTTTCTTCGCCTTCTTTAAAAACGATCAGAAAAAAAGATACCCAAACTCCAAAACAAACACGCAGGTACGCACATACTGCAGTACAATGTATACAGTTTTTACTTTCATGGTATACAGGCTACTAAGTAAATTTGTTCTGCATATGGGACTCAACTGACTTTATGCATGCTCGGTACATTCATTTCAATCATCTAATGGCAATATTCTTACTGTTGCTTTTACTGAAGACACTATCTGTACATAGAACCACAATCCAGATCAGCCACCATTTCTTCGAAATCATTCTTGCATACGCCCATCTTGTATTGTCTGAACGACAGTTATTGTGACGTCATCACATTCTGTCCATAACGTCATCATGACGTCATGCTTTTTATCACAGTTCAGGAAGTCGGGCGTCCACGATAGTACGCGCTCTTGAACACGGCTGCTGGTAGTGTTTACGCTCCCTCGCGTCCCAGTCACTACGCAGAGTAATCCACTGATGAAATTTGAGTTATACGATAAGCTGAGATGATTGGGATGATGATGGTTATTATATTTTTGCATACTCAGTGTTTGACCTCTTAATTCACTATTCAAAAGGGACATTTTCACAGGACCATAATATGGGTACATTGCACGAAAATGGAGACATTTTCTCTGAAAAAACGAATAGGCGAATAAGGCGTTCTTGAATGTCGTTAAACACGATGAGTTATAATGCTAGCACTTGTAACAAGGGAGTGAGTTAATCCCATCAACGCTGAAACAGTACGATCGCCGAATGATGAAAACACTGACACTTCATGGGTTCATCGAGAACATCGGAGACCCACACATAAATGATTAAGACAGCAAATTATCTAGTGAGGATAATAATGGTCTATGTTCTATGTTGTTTTTTTGTCTTCTTGTGTCTTTTATTTTTTTATTTTCGAGGTTTCAGTTGGTATCAGCGATTTGCAACTACATGTATAGTGAATAACAACAACATGGAATCAGGTTTGGTCTTGCTTTTTATTTTCACACGCCTCGGGGTAGCGAAGTTATCGCAGTCTGAAATAACATCGTAAACATAAGGAGCTACACATGTTGTTCATTGTAACCCTTCGGTCCCAGGGACCTGTAGATTTAACTGCGCTATATTAAATTTGGAACCGAATCTACGTTTAGGAAACCTGGCAAAGTTCACCCATGTCACAAAAGAACTCACGTCTTAGCTAAGATTTGCGTCGCGAGATAACATTGCCTTAGAGCTTCAAATACTATTTAATTTGGACCCCGGTGGAGTCCGACGTGGCCGTTAACATGTGGACGGTATTCACATAAATAGAACGAAACAGTGAAACACAATGTCATGTTACAGTATCGCACATCACAACTTTTGATACAATTATATCTACACAGACAGAAACAATGAGACTGGAGTTCATTATAGAACAGTAAACATAAAACACAACATAAAATCGTTTGCGCAGCTTTTCACGGACGTTTACCATAACTATGATCCCCATCAAAAGTTCAAACTCACTAGTGTACATGTAGCCACTTACTTCAGGCAACTGTTTTAAACTAAATTTTGCAAAATATTCCATACTGTTTAAAGGTGTTGTTTAAACAAGAACTGATGTATTGTAAAACAAATTCATAACGTTGAAAATATTATTGTTATTATGCGTTCAATAAATGATGAAACTCGGTTAAAAATGGCAAATGAACGCAACTGTTCACATGCAAGATATTTGCATATACTTTTCAGCAGTTTGATGCATGATCCTCGTGCAATTAATCTGCATAAGGTTTGCAGTTGTTTCCCCCAAGTTAGTGGAGAAATTCATCTTCGTTGTAACCATATACATGTATACATACATAACATATAGTGAATGTTTTAGTGAGTCTAAACTGTTGATGGGTAGTATATTTCTAAATATCCGCTGAAGCGTACGTACAATATCTTACAGGACGTGGCAAGGGAAAGTTACACTCTCTATATTGTTACAAAATACCTCTTTATAATGGTCTCCATGCTCCACATTCCATGTACTCAATACAGGTCTTTACACTCAATGCAAACAGACTTTGAACAAATTAACAACGCATGCATTTCTTATTTAATTACACCCAAAGGGCACAAAGCCAACCATTTCAACCACCAAAGACTGTACGATTGAGTGAGTGAGTGTTGTTTTAAACTGCTTCCTGTCAAGGCGTGGGACCTCTGCATCACACATTGTGTTCGTATCGGGTATTAAACCTTTGTTTACCACGTGACGAGTTATCGCCTTAACCAGTAGGCTACACCACAGCCCTAAAGATAAACAAATACTAAGCTACTCAATCCTTAACAGGTAGGTGTTCGCCCCCTTAATAAAACACCTTTACATCACCATCGCTGCACTTTGAGCTTAATCTTGTGCAGTTGTGCGCAGTTGAGCCTTTTATTTCAGAACCCATTACAACCTTCAAAACGTTCTTCACTAAAACCCGAGAGTTATTCCCCTTTTTCGGCGGCATACCGCTAAAGAAAACGGAGTTATCCCCCTTACACCAATGTTTAACTAAACATATTTTGTACCTTATTACCATATTTCACATCACTCCCCCTTCACCAAGATGAGTACCACTCGAATGAATTCCAAACAAGTAGATAATGTCTAAATACCCGAGGATAAGTGGCCACATTTTATCCCAAGGAACATATACATGATTATAGCATAAATTTTCAATACTACCCTGTGGCCATGTGATCAGTATCACAACAGAGTAGGTATCAAAACAACTTATACATGATAGATTAGACGGTATGAAATACACTATTCTCATCATACAAGTTAAAAGCTAAGGAGTAATAGTGAAACATGGGATAATAAGTGAACATGGAGTTACAGTAATACCCAACATTTGTGTTTTTGACTTAAAAAGCCAGAAAACATTGTCAAACTGGAAACTTTTCAACAAGAAACTATTTAAACATTAAATACAAATCTCAACACATATAAAAGAAATAGCAAACTCTGTGAACTTTAGATAAAAAATTAGAAATAGCATTGATTCAAAATATCATTATCCGTGGATGAAGCATGACTGTTAGGATTGCCAGTACTAAACACACTCTATGAGAGTACAATGTGTATCACACAATATCCAAGCTAGTTACTGCTTCTAGATAAAGACTTTGAAAAGCTGAATTATACTTTGACATTCAAAATATACATAATTTAACTCACTTCCAATGAAACTGAATTGAAGCAAAAATACCAAAGCTGTGTAATCTACACAATGTAATTATAGCCTTAGGCGTGTAATATCCATATGCTTCAATAGGTCTTCAAGTAATCATAGGAAACACTGAACCCATTCATCTTTCCAACATGGTACCAAAGTAACAGGCAACTTTCTGCTTATAAATGTTGCAACTTCAATATTAAAACATAAACTCTATCAAAGCGTACTGCACAGAGATGAACAATAATATACTGCACTACAGTGTATAGTGACAATAGAACTTGGACATAAATGTAGTGTACAATACACAGTCCATCACAGTACATCCTTCACTCTTGTAGCATTAACAATGCCAAAGAATATTTAAACCATGAAACAATTGAATTATGACAGCATTTATGATTTTTATGATTATGTTGTTTTGTTTTGTTTGTTTTTCTTTTGTTAATTGCTGGTAAAAAGAAAATGCACATTCCAACAACAATGTATACCATGGCAACAAACAATCATTCCAATTCAAACATATAAGTGAGAAATGCACCATTCAATCCTGGAACCAGAAGTCACTCAACAAACTCTCTAAACATGTCAGAGTAGTGGACATTTTGAAGATATGTACATAAGCACTAAAGTCATTTTCTTCGACTTTTTCTGTCGGTTGGTAATTTGTCATGCAAAGATTTAACAAGCTGCTGACAAGCAGGTGTCAGGTCATGGAATGGCACCCAAAAATTGTCTTTGTTACTGTAACCTAACCATTTCACACGGTACTGCCATGTAGAGTTCAGAAATCTTTTCCTGAGTATTCTCTCAATTTCATATTGAGTGTCACTGTTGGTGTCATTGTCATTACTGGATTCTACTGAATCCCTCTGGCTGCAAGACTCCGGTAACTCTTCGACACCTAGGATGGCAGGCTCCACACTGTCTATGTTGACCGGAGGTGTCGGATCCTCTGGGCGATCAACTCGTAAAAGTCCATGTTTTAGACGATTAACATGGATTCGGTTGCGGATCAGCAGTCCATCAGATTTCTTTCTCACTTTGACATGTATGTCGGACAACTTCTCTACAATATAATAGGGCCCTGCCCAGGGACGGAGCAATTTCCGTGTTTGACCGGTAACTAACACAGGGCGATAGATGAAGACTGTATCACCCACTCTGAATTTGGGGGAATGTTCTCTGTCCGCTGATCTCACTGCCATGGCTTCCTTGCGATCACTAATATTCTGAATCGCTACTTTCCGTGCAATTTCCACACCCTCTACAAGTTCAGTGATATAAGATTGAGCTGTTTTGGGAATATCAAGATTTGGACTGATTGCAAGTTCAAGGAAACTCCTCGGATAGCGTCCATACACAAGAAAGAATGGAGAGTATTCGGTACTCTCCAGACATGGGGTTATATTGTAGGAGTACTGTATGAAAGGAATAAGTCTGTCCCACTGGTCATGGGCGTCGTCCACATATTTAGACAATGATGCTAAGATTGTCGACATCATTCTCTCACTCTGGCCGTTGCATGCGGGATGATAGCTCGTGGTCTGTGTTTTCTGCACATCCAACAATTTACAGGTTTCTTTCACAATGTTGCTCAAATAATTTGTGCCTCTATCAGAGTGTAGAAACTGAGGTAGACCATGGCGACAAATTACATTATTTACAAACTGAGTAGCAACTGTTCTTGCTTTGATGTCACTGAGGGGAATGAGTTCTACATATTTGGTGAGGTAATCAATGAAAACTAACACATATTGATTACCACTGGTCTTGCACTTCGGTAGGGGTCCCAGAATGTCTGTACTGATGTGCTGAAAGGGCTGTGTGGCTACTGGCATAGGTGTAAGTTTGGCTTTAGTGGCTTTTCTCGGGGGCGCTTACGTTGACAACAAACAGTGCAGGACTTAACCCAGTTTATGATGTCCTTGTACATTGTTGGCCCAAAGAAAGATTGGTTAGTCTTATGGATGGTTCTGTTGATACCCGTATGACCTCCTGTAAGAGGGTGATCATGGGTTGATTTCATAACTGTATTTCTCAGAGTCTCTGGAACTGCGATTTGCACAGTTGTTCTGTTGACACGAGGTCCTTTGCCCTTATGTGTTGACACATGGTATAACACATCATCTTGTAGGAAGTACTCCGAACTGCCCAAGAATATCTTCTGGCGCACCTTGTCATCTTCCAGTATAACTCCACTAGACAGATACGTAATTATAGCATTTAAGTAACTGTCTTGTCGCTGTGAAGTTTTGAGAGTGTCACATGACCATAACTGTGATGCAACAGAAGCAGCCTTCTGGTTGTCAAGGTTACGTTTAGTTGGTACTTTTAGACATTTTGGACTGGGATATTCATGAGACACTCTGTTCTGTGTGATGCATTTCACATTGAAGTATGGTAGTACTTCCCAGTTAGAGTCTAACTCATCACCATTCTCTTCAACACCATATTCACGACGACTTACCCCATCAGCATTACCATGTGACTGTCCCTGGCGATACTTGATATCAAAACTGTATGACTGCAACATGGCAATCCACCTGGCAAACTTGCCTACAGGTTCCTTCATGGAAAATAACCACTTTAGTGCAGAGTGGTCAACAACAGCAGTGAACTTAGAGTATCTCAAATAACTATCAAACTGCTTCACAGAATACACCAATGCCAAACATTCTTTCTCTGTGATTCCATAATTTTTCTCAGAGTGTGACAAAGAACGTCCAACATATGAAATCACACGTTCCTCTCCATTTTGAGTCTGACAGAGAACACCACCTATAGAGAATGAACTTGCGTCTGTATACACAGTATATGGAACTGATGGCATGGGGTAAGCAGGTACCGGTGCAGTGATGAGTGATTGCTTAAGTTTATCCATAGCATCTTGACAATCTGAAGTCCAGTGGAAATCAACACCTTTCCTGGTAAGTTCATATAACGGTGCTGCAGTCTCTGCATATCCAGGAATAAATTTGCGGTAATAACCAGACAAACCCCAAAAGGCTCTCAAATCCTTCAAACATTTTGGTGTGGGATATGTTGAAACAGCTTCAACTTTGCGTGGATCTGGCGATATACCGGTTGAACTTACAATATGTCCAAGGTATCTTATCTCAGACTGAGCAAAATAGCACTTTCCTGGATGAAGTTTTAAGTTAGCAGCTTGGAGGCGATCAAGCACTTCTCTGATGTGTTGTAGATGATCGTCAAAAGTATGGCTAAATATAATAACATCGTCCAAATACACCAGACAGTGTTTCCAAGATAATCCTCTCAAAACTGCCTCCATTAATCTCTGAAATGTCGCTGGACTATTCTTAAGTCCCATAGGTAAGCGCCGAAATTGATATAAGCCAAGATGACACCTCCACGCTGTATATGGTCGAGAGTCTGGATGAATCTCAACTTGGTAGAAGCCACTTTTAAGATCCAATGAGGTGAAGTAACTGGGATTATCTGTACCAATACTTTCCAAAGCATCAGAAGTGGTTGGTATCGGGTGGGCATCCAAAAGTGTGCAATCATTCAGCCGGCGAAAGTCTGTGACAAAACGAAATGATTTATTGTCTTGTTTACTTACAAGCAGACATGGTGCTGCCCAGGGACTAGTAGACTCCTCTATGATGCCTTGGTCAAGCATATCTTCCACCATACGTTCCATGACTTCTTTCTGTTTAGCGCCTAGTTTGTATGCACGTTGTCTAATGGGAGGTTGATCAGATGATATCTCGATATGGTGTTGTAAGAGATCACAACACCCAAGTTTGTTGTCTGCTCCAACAAAAGAGGATTCATATTCTGAGAGCAATCGCTTAAGTTGAACAGTTTGTTCTTCTGTAAGGTCAGAGGAAATATTAGTGTCAATGTGAGAATGTTCAGTCTGTGGATGTTGAGAGCCATGACTGGTTGTATGCGACTCATTTGTTTCATTTTCCCCTACCACTGTTGAAATAATGTCTTTCTGGGACAAACATACAAACTTTCCAACCACTGAACCCTTTGGAATAGTAATTGTGTCATTGGAGAAATTACACACTGCTTGATACACTTTAGAATCATGTACTTAAGAGAGTGATTTTGCTGTTAGCAAACCTGTGGAAGCTAACATATCTGAACTGGTAACAAGTCCATCAACACAGTCTGGGAGTGATGTCCCTTTGATACGTGTTACCATGACAATTTCCGAACATGGGGGTACAGAAACGTTACCGTCCGTAACAAGGTACCGCCTTGGATCCATATGCATGGTACCACTTCCAAAGTCAACTTTCACATTATGTTCTCTCAAGAAAAAAAACCCAAGAGTAATTTCAGGTTTGAGACCAACCACAACATTCCACAAAATGTTGACCTCAGTACCAGCTATTATGAGACGAAGATAACCTGTGCCGACAACACTAACCTTTTCATTGTTAGCTGTCACAATAAACTTGTTTTCAAACCTTTCATTTAAGGAACCTCCTAATTTAGCAAATGTCTCATCATTTATCACACAGAAGTCTGCACCACTGTCCAGTAATGCAAATAATTTCAACCTATTTACAGTCACTTGTACAAAATTTCTCAACAAGCTACATTCTGCGTGCAGATTACCTATTAACTTCCTCTTCCCTCCTTTCAAATCTCCAGCCAGCGGGGAAGTATCACTAGAGCATACTAGTTTGGATGATTACCCGAACTGCCACGGGGCTGTCTCTCTGACAAGCAGTGTTTGGCCAAATGATTGAACCCACCACATTGGTAACACTTGAAACCTTGTGGCTTGTCTTGTCTTGACTTTCTTGTGTATCGGTAACACTGTCTGGCCTCATGACCACTTTTACTGCACAACTGGCATACTGTTGTTGATAGGGCAGCTATGGAGGGTGGTTTATCAAAGGACAGAGACTTCAATTGATCTTTCAAAGCTGACACTTCTGATGTCAATGCGTCTATGGCATATTTCTCTGGAAATGCTTGGGTATGACTGGGTTGTGTCAATACCTGACTCTCATGTACTAATCGTGCATGTTGGATTGCATCTGTGAGCGTTGCAGGTCTGTGTTGCATAACCGGACCACGCAGGATAGGTTTCAACCCTCTGATAAAGATAGAGAGTTTATCATGTTCAGTCTTATTTAAACGTGAGCATTTCTGTTGAACGTCTGCTATGTAAGATTCAAGCGATTCCCCATCAAGCATCGTGCGATCCCACAACTGTTGTTCCAACAGCCATGTACTTTGACCACGGACAAAGTGTTCATTAAAGTGGTAAAAAAGTCTGTCTTTACTTTGTTTTACATGATCAGGCAAATCCAGAAACCATTGCAAAGCAGCGTCCTCCAGACACAACAACATAACTGATCCGTATTGATCATCACGATACCTCTGAATTGCCGCCCATGCTTCAAATTTCCGTAGCCAGGTAGCGCCATCTTCGTTTGGCAATCCGCGGTAACGTTCAAGTTTAATTTGGCTCATATTTGGATCGTTTTGGCATCTCCACCACGTGTGCAGTTGTGCGCAGTTGTGCTCAGTTGAGCCTTTTATTTCAGAACCCATTACAACCTTCAAAACGTCCTTCACAAAAACCCGAGAGTTATTCCCCTTTTTCGGCGGCATGCTCAACTTGCATACCGCTAAAGAAAACGGAGTTATCTCCCTTACACCAATGTTTAACTAAACATATTTTGTACCTCATTACCATATTTCACAATCTCCATGCTGTACAAATCGTCATTTTATTGGCTTTTCATATTTTGTTAGCTTGGTGTGAATGTTGTACGATAAACAGAAAAGTAGTTAATGTTCAGTTACTGTTCTTTTCACATATTCAAGTAATATTCCTTTACAGTCTGTCTTTAGCATTTCCTCAGAATATAAACGAACCTCCATTTGGTGTTGGTAGCAATTAATGAGATTGTTGTCGCATAATGGACAATGAAAGAACTTTCTTCATTTTTCATAATACTTATTGCTAATTTACAGGGTCAGTCTTTATTCTCTTTGATAAAATTCAAATCTTCCTTTCTGGATAGAAGTAATAGCTCTTGCATTACTGTTATTATTATTAAGGTTGTTAAGCGTGCTGTAACACGATCCATCTTGTGTCCAAGGTTATGCCCTAAATTGTTAATGTTGCATACTTACTCCTTAAATGTATCTGATTTATGATATTGCATGCATTGATGTATGGAAGATATTATGATGATATATTACTGGCCCATGCGTCTGAGCCATAGCAAATCACCGTGCAGAGTTGCGTCTCTTTGGCACGCCGCAAACCTATGGTCGTTGGTTCGAATTCCGTGTCGCTGATATTATGTTTCTTGGCTTGTCAGCACTATACCAGTAACTGCAGGCTTCACCACAGCGGTAAATGCACGAGATCTGCGTCAAGTCGGGCTTTCCTTTCTATGTACTGTCAGGCGCAGAAGCTGTTCAGTGTCTGGCTAACAGGCGCAGTGTTTGTTACGGTTTGCTGTCTATCTTAATGGCGTCTTGCCCTACTTCAGTGTATAGTGACCATCAACCAGATATGTTGACTTTCTTTGTTATCTTTTATCCCCTATAGGACAGTTACTGTAATCACATAGATATTGATTTGCTCGAAATGTAAAAGGTTCTCGTTGCATCATGTATTGTGGCTCGACTGGACGTAAACGTTATCCAAGCAAGATCACAGTGTTCAATACAAGACAAATCTTATGGATAATAACTTCTTTATTTACTCTTTTTTTTCACAACGTTTCTGGGCTAGTTCTTGCCCCTTCTTCACAGTGGTCAAGTCTAACTTCGATTGACCTGGGCTGCGCCAAGTTTATAATTATTGGAAGTAACACCTACCATCCCATTGTGGTTATTGTAAAATGATGCAGGTGTAAGATATGTGCACTTTGGTGAAGCACATCATGGTATGGTGCATATGGAGGCATAATAATCAGGTACATTCCAGGATCAGCGACTGGATGTCTGGCAGCTACAGGGAAGGAGCTCTTCAAGTGAACTGTTGATCACCACAGATGACTCACATTGCAGCAACTTCTCTAAATGCTGAACAATGTCAGACACACAAATAAGGACACATAACTACAAAATATTATAAGAGATATTTTATTTCACTAGATGAGTTACGTGCATAAAATTATTGGATTGTTTAGATAATGTCTAACATCTGCATATTTCATAAGAATTTGTACAACTTTACCCCCTCGTTCCTAGAACTACAGAATCATGTATCTCACTGGTAGTTGTCCATATCAAGATGATCAGGGTAACTGACAGCAGTCCACACAAAGATAATCCATGTCGACAACTGCAAGTGGTCCACACAAAGATAATCCATGTCGACAACTGCAAGTGGTCCACACAAAGATAATCCATGTCGACAACTGCAACTGGTCCACACAAAGATTATCCAAGTCAACAACTGCAAGGGGTCCACACAAAGATAATCCATGTCGACAACTGGCAGCGTTCCACACAAATATAATCCATGTCGACAACTGGCAGTGTTCCACACAAATATAATCCATGTCGACAACTGGCAGCGTTCCACACAAAGATAATCCATGTCGAAAACTGCAAGTGTTCCACACAAAGATAATCCATGTCAAGTGGTCCACACAAAGATAAAACTGGCAACTGGCAGCGTTCCACACAAAGATAATCCATGTCGACAACTGCAAATGGTCCACACAAAGATAATCCAAGTCAACAACTGCAACTGGTCCACACAAAGATAATCCAAGTCGACAACTGCAAGTGGTCCACACAAAGATAATCCATGTTGACAACTGCCAGAGGTCCACAGAGAGATACTCATGAATCTGGTCCACAAAGATACATATGTAGACAAGTGTGAATTGTCCATGAAAAGATGATTGTGTTGAGAACAATGACTTGTCCACACAATCATCATCAGGCATCACACTCTGGTCCACATGAACATTATCATGTTGTCCACACTAAGGGAAACATGTTGACTTCAACAAAGATAATCCTGTATATCCTTGCTACTAACCAGAGGAGAGCTTACAACTATACATCAAAGGCATATCTATAACAGGTATTCCTGGTTTCATACCCCGGAATCTATGCTGAACAGATAGTGGGAACATGGTAGCTGCAAAACTGCCTGGAATGACTTCAAAAGACTTACCTGTCACTGTGGTAACAGTTTTGTCAATGGCTTTTAATAGTGCTGATTATTCAATCACATTTGGCTTGTATTTACTTGTAAATGGAATATACATATATGTATCAGATTGGTCCCTTGGTAAAAACATTGTACAAAATGAAGATGTCAGTATGAGAACAGGCAGTGTTGTGATGGGATACTGGCAGTACCTACAGGTAGTTAGCTTACCTGGGGTGGTGGGGTTAGCGGTGTGATCGGTGGGGGGAACTTGATGCATAGTTAGATTTGTGGGCGGAACTTTGTAGGCAAGGCTGACAAAATGATTTGGATATTTTGAGACATGTAACTTTCAGGTTGGCCGTATAGTGGACATTTGGAGAGCTAATGTTTAGCTGTTGACAAAAGGGTCTGTGATATAGGGACGATGCAGGTCAGTGAATGTGACTCGGCAAATGTGAGTCATTGTGTGAATGTGTGAGTAAAATTCTTCCCGTATTCTCTGACTTAAAATATTTTATAATCATAGCCCCCTAGCTAAATTATGGAATACTTCAAAATAAAAATTCAAAGTGAACGTTACAGATTAGGGTTATGGTTAAAATGTGCAAGGGTTATGGATGGTAAATATTCCAATGTGGGTCAGGGTCGGTGAAAGTTAGTGGGTGAATGGGGGTGGTGACTGGTGGTCAGTGAATGTCTGTGTGGGTCAAGGCATCAAGGTGAGGGCAACAAGCACTGTGACTTCAAGAACACTGGAGCTGGTCTTAATCTAAGGCTGATGAAGCACCTCCCAGTAGCAGGATGGTCTTTGGAAGGTGGGGCTGCACACTGCATGCTCCCTATAGACATTGCAACTGGCAATTGGGCTGGCAGCCAGTGAGCTCACACCGGGCTGGAGGTTGACATGAACATATTGTGGTCATTGAATATGTGGACGGAAAGAGGCCATGGAATGATGCTTCTGTTGTACACATCTTGCCGACTAGGTATCAGATGTAAAATGACACTGGGAATTTATTACAAACTGCTGCAAAAAGTTAATACTGAACACAACCAGAGACAACTGACGGTGGTGGGGATATGTGATTATGTGACATTCCACAGGATTTGAGCTGACATTATGAAGGCAGATGTAAAAGTGGCCACGCTCTGTACTGACAGCAAAAGGTACTCGTTTAAGTCTCATCCTGGAAAGGTTATAGACAAAGACATGAAGGCACCCTGGTTGCCATGGTTACTGAAATAGCTGAGGGCATGCTGGCATACAAAGGCATGAAAATATAGGCCTCTTACATGACACACATATTCTGCTTCTGATACTAACAAACCTGCATGAAATGGCAATTAGCATATCTATGTAATGAATGAGGATGTCCTGGCAATGCTCAATGGATGCCAGTGGAGAGACACATGACCTCGTGCTACTCTAAGAGACAGGCTATCAGGTAAGGCACTACAATACTTGTCACACCATTTTGATTTCTTCTTTGAAGATAAATGCTTACTGTATCACATTTGAGCAGGGATGATGATTCACGTCTGTCGTGAAAACAATACAGCACTGTTGATGATCTGCATAATGGTAAACACTGAAAAGGGGAGACAACTCAGTATCTACCCTTGTACAATGATATTGATCTGGTCTAAATAAAGGTCATTAGTGTTGAGTTGATAGGGAAATAAACAGCTGAAATTTGTCTATACAATAGCGTGGTCCCAGGTTTGGAAAAGAATGTTTAGCTTGTATGTCAAACACTCGGGCACAAATCAGTTGTCAAATCAGACAAAAGCCAGACAACCTGAGACATGTTAAGAACATTTAGGATCACTGGGGTGTAGAAAAAATAAGGTTTCCAAGAAAAAGTAGTCATGATTTTAGCATGATTAACTTATGGATTTGATGAAAATATATCATCTTTTGCATCACAAACATTTTTATCACATGATTTGACACATGACAATAATTGTCAGTGACAGGTGAAAACACTGGCATCATGTTAATCAGATTGGTGGAATTTGGTTGAAAACATCCTAATGGTTGGCACTGGCTTCGTGTTAGACACTCAAGGTCAGTGTCGAACATGTAAGGACATTCTATGTTCAAGCAAGATGGCGAAGTACCATGTAAGACTCAAGGCAAAGCACTTCAGTCATGTTACAAATACATAAGCACTCCAGTCATATGATAGATACATAAGCACTCCAGTCATATGATAGATACATAAGCACTTCAGTCATGTGACAGATACATAAGCACTTCAGTCATGTGACATGCCACCCATTCATCTGAAGGTGAGTCAGCAAGGGTGTGTGGTGGTGGGTCTTCTTTTGTCTATGGCGTTTTTTAATGCACAGTAGTAAGAAGAAAGTTGACACTCATACATATAACTGCTTTAAAAGAGGATTCTTTAACTGACATAGTCATGACTGCAAATGTCTGACATAACTTTCTGTTCATAGACACAAACTAACAGACAAGGCAAAGAGAACTAAGGGAGGTAACTCTTGCGGCTCTCACACTATACCGGTACCACCAATGGGTCCAAGAACTCAAGCTAAAATAAAGAAAGAGATCAGTTGACTTGTAAATAACATAATGCAAGTTGCTGCACCAGGTTCAATCTTGTGAAAAATATAACCCAAGTTTGTACTGAATATTTCATTTCAAGGGAGATTTCATTTGACGCTTTTAATGTTAGTACCCACGAATTAATTATGTCCATAGGCATCACGGTGGTTACATAATCACAATACATACAAGCGGCGTAAGTAACATTAATGTTCGGACAAAGATCCTTCAATATACAATATTTGGGCACACAAGGCCACAAAGGCCTAAACAGATCATGTACAAGAATAGCAGCCTGTTCTACTTGGGCAGGGCTCAATAGAATTCATGAAGCACACAGCCATTTGGACATACTCCTTTTCTAATCAGAAACATGACCTCTTTAATAGTATGAAGAAATGATAAATATAATAATAAGAAAACCTCTTGCTTTTAACAAATAACTCATTTATCTTGGCAAAAGGTGGTAAGTAGAAAAGATTTGTTCTTTTAATGAGTTTGTGACCTGATAGTATGAGGTACCTAACATGGTGAACAAGTTGTCAATGAAGTGTACTGAGGATGTTATACGCACCAAAATACCACAAAGCATGCTAACATCCCAGCACATAGATAGGAGGATAGCTGCAGTTCACACACACACTGTCACACATGATCACACACACACTCACACATTAACACAGTGAAAGGCAGGAAGATAACACCATGCCAAAAGTAGCCAACAATCTTCAAATACAGATATAGGTATAATATTACTGGTGTATTAATGTGAACACAGGCAATCAATAAAACCATTAAAAACGGGTGTAAATGTACGAAAATATCAGTATTGGTCCCTTTTGAATTATGAATAGCAGAAATATATGGACAAATGGTGTAATGATTTCTGGCCTTAAAAATGGCTGCCACTGGTATAATCTTGTATGGTGACATCAATGTTTCACACTGGTGTCTGGTCTCTGTGCAAAGCTTCAATGTACAAGCAAAAGCTTTGTTTTCAAAACAATTGTTCTCAATTTTAACTTTGTTTTACCATATTACCATATAACAGGATAAATTTTCAGAAAAGATTCAATCCTGAATATAAACGAGCCATTTCATTAATGAGCAAAATAGTTTTAAAAAATGTTGGGGTTTTTTCATACACAATCTTGATAACATTGCCTTGGTCAACTTTTGCAGATCAGGACACATGGGAAGGGTGGCAACTCTTGTCTCACCATCTCACTTGCTGACCGGTGTGTCTGAACGTCCATCTGTGTCAAAGGAATCATTTTCTGACGTGGAAAGAGAGCTGGAAGTACGGAGACTGTCAAGGTCATCCCGGAAGTATGGGTGACGGAGTGAAGCACTGGCACTACTTCGTCGATGTGGGTCAAAGGTAAGTAGTCTCTACAAAAGATGAAATGAGTTGGATACTAAATACTGCTGACGTAAAAAAACAATTCACAAGAGCTCTGCAGCTCACCGTCCTTGTGAAGGAAGTCATTTTATACCATGTCTACTCTATCTTCAACAAAACAACTATCAGGTGTCAGTACAAAAGATTCTTGGATAAAGAAGAAGAAATCATTTCAACATTAGTGTTTGCCACTGATATGGTAATCAATGTCCCCTGCCGCTAAAGAAAGGAATATTAATAAAATATTTACTACTTTTTATTTTTTGTTCAAATACAAGATGCCTGAAGTGACTTGTGTCTGCAATAATCACCCAATGTAGGCTGTCGACATAATTGAAGACATTGGGTGCAATGTTTTATGAGCGATCATGTTTACACAAGTTTAAAAAGTGGTCAAAGTGTCGTGGTGACATTGATGATAAGGTCAAGGTCACCCAAATCGACTGGTGTCTGCGTAACCTCCCAAAGTAGGCTGTCACCAAATTTGAAGACATTGGGTACAACAGTTCATGAGATATCGCGTTAACAAGAATCGGGACGTACGTGCAGGTGCGGCTGAATACATAGTCCCCCGTGGGGGACAATTAATGAGAGACAAAGGCCCCAGTACAATCTTTAATAGTAGACCCTCTTTGAAGCCCTGTATGTAAGTAGCTCTTGCCTTGATGACCAAATGCTTTGATCAGCACCGGGGTAACCTTGGATTACTGACACTAACCAATATGTTCCAAATGTTGTCCAACTCTGTGGGCAGTTTGGACCAGCTTGGTTGGAACTAACAGAAAGCCTTTCCCAATGCTGCATTTACCAATTCTTTTCAAAGTCATTACGGGCTTCCATGCCAACCATATGTGAAAACCACCTTTTCGACAAAATATTGTGATGTAACATGGTGTAAGGGTGCTTCGGACACTTTATGTGTACCACATCTCCATGAGAATAGTGCACTCCAAAGAATAATCCATGTTTTCCATAAATGATTTTGTTCTGTTAGGAATTGTGGTTGATGCAAAGATAAAAGACAGTAAATAGCAATTAGCTGTACACAAATTTTCTCTTAATCTACCAATGATTTGGTGACAACATACCCAATGACATACGGTCAAAGAATAGTTATTCAATAATTAGAAAAAATATCTGGAACTACCATGTTATCCGAATAATAATTTCCATACCATATTATTTCAGTTGCAGGTTTTACAACATGTGCTTAAAATAGTAATAATATCATTCCACTTGAGAACACTTCAAACGTGACTCCACTGATATTAATGTAACAAGAAGACAAAGTCATCAATATCCCCCGCAATGGCAAAATACTCTTCATGATTATGTCTACAAGTTCTGATTATGTAAAATATTTAGGTGTGTATATAGAAAAGTGGAAGGAGAGTATTGAAAGTTCTGCTCCAGAAAGGAGCACTATCACCAATTTCAGTCTATGTCAAACTTGTTGCGATGGAAATGCCAAAAATATTTTATTCAGAAATTCAAAACTACCAAAAGGCACCAGTACACCACCAGATCTATCTATGTGCCAAGTTTGGTGAAGAAACATTGAACGGTTTTAGAGTTCTGCTCCGGAAAAAAGCACTACCACTAATTTCTGTTTTAGTCAAACTTGTTGCCATGGAAACGCCAAAAATATTTTATTCAGAATTCCAAAACTACGAAAAGGCACCAGTACACCACCAGACCAATCTATGTGCTAAGTTTGGTGAAGAAATAGTGAACGGTTTTAGAGTTCTGCTCCGGAAAAGAGCACAACAACCAATTTCAGGCTAAGTCGAACTTGTTGCTATGGAAATGCCAAAAATATTTTATTCAGAATTCCAAAACTACCAAAAGGCACCAGTACACCACCAGACCAATCTATGTGCCAAGTTTGGTGAAGAAATAGTGAACGGTTTTAGAGTTCTGCTCCGGAAAAGTGTACTACCACCAATTTCAGGCTAAGTCAAAACTTGTTGCCACGGAAAAGCCAAAAATATTTTATTTAGAATTTCAAAACTACCAAAAGGCACCAGTACACCACCAGATCTATCTATGTGCCAAGTTTGGTGAAGAAATAGTAAACGGTTTTAGAGTTCTGCTCCGGAAAAGAGCACTACCACTAATTTCATTCTAAGTCGAACTTGTTGCCATGGAAACACCATAAAAAAATTATTCAAAATTCCAAAACTACCAAAAGGCACAAGTACTCCACCAGATCCATGTATGTGCCAAGTTTGGTGAAGAAATAGTGACTGGTTTTAGAGTTCTGCTCCGGAAAAGACAAATGTGCACGGACGGACGGACGCACACACGCACCGACGGAGTCCATTTTAATACCCCCGCATAACGCGTTGCGGGGGATAACAATAGTCAATTAAAGTTTGAAAAGAACTGATTGATTAATAGATCACAAACAAAGTCCAGATACACAGCTAATACATCTTAAAACCACATACAAAATTATGCACTTTAGTGCAGATTTGGTGACATGGTACTGTAATAATGTCAGTATGTTTGGAAAAACATCAAAACTCATTGTGGTGTGCATAATGCACCCCTCCCCCGTCCACATTGCACTCTGTCCACCCAGCTGTTCAAAATGGGTACCTGAGAAGCGGATGATCGGACCTATACGGTCGCATGAAGCCCTTAGTAGCGGCTTTGAAAGTACAATTCCATCAGGGTAATAATATAACGCTGGAGAGCAGCATCGTGTTGGATTCTAGGCACAAAAATTAGCATTATTATTATTATTATACAACAGAGGGTTGCTGACATTGTCTCTCACCTCCAGGAGGTCCTTGGCCTGATGATCAATTTCTGGAACAAACTTTTCTAGGGGTTGCGGGGCAACTGATCGGAATGACTTCCATGGCAACGAGACATTTTCTGGCCACTCATGTTCAGATGGCAGTCCAATTGCTCTGGAATACAAGTGAAATGTGTGGACATTGTATCACTGGGTTCTCAAATAACAATGAAGGTGCTTGCATTACCTGTGAACACAGAAGTCCACCCAATGAAAACACCCCCTTATGTTCATACATATTAGTTTCCATCAAATTCCAATCACACAGGAAAAACACTGGAAGATGTTATGAGCAAATTCCAATGACAATTGAATCGTGGAATCTGGTTTGACACGGACCCTGATCACACAATCCGATTTAGTAGCTTCACGGCAAGCAATGCAGTGTTTCGGACATACCTTGATTCAACAGCACAACATCGGTATGATGACAGCTATGATGAAATATGTCCCGTTTGAAAAAGGCATACTTAACTAAAAATACAACATCTGGAACTTACTCAAATATCTTTATCAACTGGTCGACGTCAGATTGGCCACAAAACAAAGGTCGTCTGTTGAAAAGTTCAGCAAATATACAACCACAGCTCCAGAGATCGACGGGCGTTGCATACTGGCCTTGAAGTAGCACCTCCGGGGCACGGTACCACAGCGTCACCACCTGCCACACAACACAGTGAACCTCACTAACCCTTCACAACAGGCAGGGATTTATCTATAGGTGTTTGGAGGTCAGTGTTTCACCCCTAGTCTGCAGCAAATGCCATACCATTCCCAAATTGGAATTGGAAAACATCCAAACGCACCTCATGAACATCATAAATAGAGGCATGGCTTTGCAGAGGAGACAAATATTTTACTGATAACAGAACCAATGACTGTTTTGGTTTGTTTAACGTCGCACTCAGCAATATTCCAGCTATATGGTGGCGGTCTGTAAATAATCGAGTCTGGACCAGACAATCCAGTGATCATAAGCATGAGCATCCATCTACGCTATTGGGAACCGATGACATGTGTCAACCAAGTCAGCGAGCCTGACCATCCAATCCCGTTAGTCGCCTCTAACGACAAGCATGGGTTACTGAAGACCAATTCTAACACAGATCTGTACGAGTCCACAACGAATGAGGAGGAAGAAGATGTCATATTTTGTGTTATAGTGATGTAACCATGGTTAAAACGTGCCAAATGTACAGTGAATACTCCCAAAACATATCTGTGAGATCTCTGTCCCTTTTTCTAAGAAAGCATTTAACTAAGTGAGTGATTGCAGCATCAGGTTATAATTAATGACATAGTATATCCTTTGTGCTAAAGCACTGACAGATTCCATTTGCAATCTAACCTATATATAACTCTGCTGTTGTCATACACGATACTTACCACTGATGTGAGCGCCATCTGGAAGCTGTAAATCCTGGCTAGACCAAAATCTGCCAACTTGAGTTGACCTTGACTTGTGATGAGGACATTCTGAGGCTTGAGATCTCGATGGACAATACGATGGGCATGCAGGAAGTCAACCCCACTCAGCAGCTGGTGCATCAAGTCCTTTGAAGCAAAAAAGTATTCTGAATAGGTTTAAGACTGATATACTATTTCCCTTGATGAAATGTGTACAACATAAATATTTATCACATGAGATGTGTACAACATAAGTATTTATCACATGAGATGTGCACAACATTATACAATTATAGACTCTTGTAGAGGTCTATCCGAGTGATCTGATTGGCTGAAAAGCGGGGGAAGCCCCTTCGTATGGGATCCCTTGTCTATTTTTAGTAACCCAAGTCAATATCGTAATTTATCAGAAAACTCAAGTCAATATCGTGTTTTGTAGTCAATCATGTGACGGTCTTTTGACCAATTGTGGTACAGGAAAAATACTACCTATATAATAAATGTATTTATCGCATATTACATGAACAGTATTTGCAAGTATCCCACACGATGCCCTCAGTTTAAGAACTAACTTAGTACGTACGCAGCATGACTGTTTGTAACGAATTCCAATAAAAAAAAATTAAAAAGATAAAATGCCCTTGATTTGTTTGTTTAATCAAGATGATGTGAGACTGCAGACAAAAGGAAATGTTCATAACATTTCCCTTGCTTGACCACTGAACTAGTTACATTAATCAGAAATGAAACAGAAATTTAAATTGACAAAGAAAATATACTAATGGCAGAAAAAACTCATGACAGTCAGCATGTGTTGCAAGTTCAACTCCATGCATGGTAGTGACCAGACATTCCCTAGATGTCAACCATCCCCACAAACATGTGCTTGTACCACCAGAGTGTCAGCCAGTTGTCTCCTACCCATCTGGGTCACCAGACATTCCCTAGATGTCGACCATCCCCACAAACATGTGCTTGTACCACCAGAGTGTCAGCCAGTTGTCTCCTACCCATCTGGGTCACCAGACATTCCCTAGATGTCAACCATCCCCACAAACATGTGCTTGTACCACCAGAGTGTCAGCCAGTTGTCTCCTACCCATCTGGGTCACCAGACATTCCCTAGATGTCAACCATCCCCACAAACATGTGCTTGTACCACCAGAGTGTCAGCCAGTTGTCTCCTACCCATCTGGGTCACCAGACATTCCCTAGATATCAACCATCCCCACAAACATGTGCTTGTACCACCAGAGTGTCAGCCAGTTGTCTCCTACCCATCTGGGTCACCAGACATTCCCTAGATGTTGACCATCCCCACAAACATGTGCTTGTACCACCAGAGGTTCAGCCAGTTGTCTCCTACCAATCTGGGTCACCAGACAGTCCCTAGATGTCAACCATCCCCACAAACATGTGCTTGTACCACCAGAGGTTCAGCCAGTTGTCTCCTACCCATCTGGGTCACCAGACATTCCCTAGATGCTCCACCATCCCCACAAACATGTGCTTGTACCACCAGAGTGTCAGCCAGTTGTCTCCTACCCATCTGGGTCACCAGACATTCCCTAGATGTCGACCATCCCCACAAACATGTGCTTGTACCACCAGAGGTTCAGCCAGTTGTCTCCTACCCATCTGGGTCACCAGACATTCCCTAGATGTCAACCATCCCCACAAACATGTGCTTGTACCACCAGAGTGTCAGCCAGTTGTCTCCTACCCATCTGGGTCACCAGACATTCCTAGATGTCGACCATCCCCACAAACATGTGCTTGTACCACCAGAGTGTCAGCCAGTTGTCTCCTACCCATCTGGGTCACCAGACATTCCCTAGATATCAACCATCCCCACAAACATGTGCTTGTACCACCAGAGTGTCAGCCAGTTGTCTCCTACCCATCTGGGTCACCAGACATTCCCTAGATGTCGACCATCCCCACAAACATTGTGTTTGTACCACCAGAGGTTCCGCTATTTGACACCTACCCATCTGGGTGATCAGACAGTCCCTAGTTGTCGACCATACCACAAACATGTGCCACCAGAGTGTCAGCCAGTTGTCTCCCTACCCATCTGGGTCACCAGACATTCCCTAGATATCAACCATCCCCACAAACATGTGCTTGTACCACCAGAGTGTCAGCCAGTTGTCTCCTACCCATCTGGGTCACCAGACATTCCCTAGATGTCGACCATCCCCACAAACATGTGCTTGTACCACCAGAGGTTCAGCCAGTTGTCTCCTACCCATCTGGGTCACCAGACATTCCCTAGATGTCAACCATCCCCACAAACATGTGCTTGTACCACCAGAGTGTCAGCCAGTTGTCTCCTACCCATCTGGGTCACCAGACATTCCCTAGATGTCAACCATCCCCACAAACATGTGCTTGTACCACCAGAGTGTCAGCCAGTTGTCTCCTACCCATCTGGGTCACCAGACATTCCCTAGATATCAACCATCCCCACAAACATGTGCTTGTACCACCAGAGTGTCAGCCAGTTGTCTCCTACCCATCTGGGTCACCAGACATTCCCTAGATGTCGACCATCCCCACAAACATTGTGTTTGTACCACCAGAGGTTCCGCTATTTGACACCTACCCATCTGGGTGATCAGACAGTCCCTAGTTGTCGACCATACCACAAACATGTGCTTGTACCACCAGAGTGTCAGCCAGTTGTCTCCTACCCATCTGGGTCACCAGACATTCCCTAGATGTCGACCATCCCCACAAACATGTGCTTGTACCACCCAGTCTCCTACCCATCTGGGTCACCAGACAGTCCCTAGATGTCAACCATCCCCACAAACATGTGCTTGTACCACCAGAGGTTCAGCCAGTTGTCTCCTACCCATCTGGGTCACCAGACATTCCCTAGATGTCGACCATCCCCACAAACATGTGCTTGTACCACCAGAGTGTCAGCCAGTTGTCTCCTACCCATCTGGGTCACCAGACATTCCCTAGATGTCAACCATCCCCACAAACATGTGCTTGTACCACCAGAGTGTCAGCCAGTTGTCTCCTACCCATCTGGGTCACCAGACATTCCCTAGATGTCAACCATCCCCACAAACATGTGCTTGTACCACCAGAGTGTCAGCCAGTTGTCTCCTACCCATCTGGGTCACCAGACATTCCCTAGATATCAACCATCCCCACAAACATGTGCTTGTACCACCAGAGTGTCAGCCAGTTGTCTCCTACCCATCTGGGTCACCAGACATTCCCTAGATATCGAACCATCCCCACAAACATGTGCTTGTACCACCAGAGGTCAGCCAGTTGTCTCCTACCCATTCCCTAGATGTCGACCATCCCCACAAACATGTGCTTGTACCACCAGAGGTTCAGCCAGTTGTCTCCTACCCATCTGGGTCACCAGACAGTCCCTAGATGTCAACCATCCCCACAAACATGTGCTTGTACCACCAGAGGTTCAGCCAGTTGTCTCCTACCCATCTGGGTCACCAGACATTCCCTAGATGTCGACCATCCCCACAAACATGTGCTTGTACCACCAGAGTGTCAGCCAGTTGTCTCCTACCCATCTGGGTCACCAGACATTCCCTAGATGTCGACCATCCCCACAAACATGTGCTTGTACCACCAGAGGTTCAGCCAGTTGTCTCCTACCCATCTGGGTCACCAGACATTCCCTAGATGTCAACCATCCCCACAAACATGTGCTTGTACCACCAGAGTGTCAGCCAGTTGTCTCCTACCCATCTGGGTCACCAGACATTCCCTAGATGTCGACCATCCCCACAAACATGTGCTTGTACCACCAGAGTGTCAGCCAGTTGTCTCCTACCCATCTGGGTCACCAGACATTCCCTAGATATCAACCATCCCCACAAACATGTGCTTGTACCACCAGAGTGTCAGCCAGTTGTCTCCTACCCATCTGGGTCACCAGACATTCCCTAGATGTCGACCATCCCCACAAACATTGTGTTTGTACCACCAGAGGTTCCGCTATTTGACACCTACCCATCTGGGTGATCAGACAGTCCCTAGTTGTCGACCATACCACAAACATGTGCTTGTACCACCAGAGGATCAGCCAGTTGTCTCCTACCCATCTGGGTCACCAGACATTCCCTAGATGTTGACCATCCCCACAAATATTGTGTTTGTACCACCAGAGGTTCCGCCATTTGACACCTACCCATCTGGGTGATCAGCCAGTCCCTAGTTGTCGACCATCCCCACAAACATGTGCTTGTACCACCAGAGGTTCAGCTAGTTGTCTCCTACCCATCTGGGTCACCAGACATTCCCTAGATGTCGACCATACCCCCACAAACATGTGCTTGTACTACCAGAGTGTCAGCAAGTTGCAACCTACCCGTATCCGGTCAGGTCCGAGCCCCGGGGAGGGGCAACGCTCCAGGTAGGTTGCAAGGTCCTGGTCGATGTACTCGAACACCAGCGTCAGCCGTATCTCACTGTCTGTCACGGGAGTGTGACGCACATCCAGAAGCCTGACAAGTTGACAAAACATCCATCTCAAATATGTCAAACACACAGCATGGCAAACATACATTCTCCAGTCTAGGTAAACATTTCTGTGCTTGATTAGGAAATTAACATTTGCGATTTTCTGAAAAAGGTGACAGAATATTTATGGTTTAAGGCCAACTATAGCATCCTAAGGTGTTCACTGTGATCACTGAAAAGATTTATGAAAGACATCTGTTATCATGGTCATTAACGAGGTGTGAGTAGATTTGCCTGAGATTTTGAAAATGCTGTTAAACATCAGGCAACCCTACTGACCACATGTAAACATGATATTGATTATAAAGATGTTCGTTAGACGACATTTCCTTTCCAGAATTTGGTTAATCAATGTGATTTCAGGAACAAAGACAGACATCCACAAAATATGATGATATATACTTTTCTATACTTACTGAGGTCATATGTAATAATGGAACCAAAATTTATGATTAATAAACCTCACTTTTGTGGGTTTACCAAAATGTTTGCATACAAATATTGCATAAGTAGTTACTTTAGGTTCTGAAGAACAATCTAAATAAAGAGAGTGAATTTATATTAAGCACTAGAAGCAAGTTGTATTTTTAGCTGGGTTTTGAAACTGACCAAAGTACACAAGAAAAAAAAGTCATCAATATCCCCCGCAATGGCAAAATACTCTTCATGATTATGTATACGAGTTATGATTATGTAAAATATTTAGGTGTGTATATAGAAAAGTGGAAGGAGAGTATTGAAAGGTTTTTAATGTTCTGCTCCAGAAAGGAACACTATCCCCAATTTCAGGCTAAGTCAAACTTGTTGCCATGGAATCGCCAAAAATATTTTATTCAGAATTCCAAAACTAACAAAAGGCACAAGTACACCACCAGATCTATCTGTGTGCCAAGTTTGGTGAAGAAATATTGAACAGTTTTAGAGTTCTGCTCCGGAAAAGAGCACTACCACTAATTTCAGTCAAAGTCGAACTTGTTGCCATGGAAACGCCAAAAATATTATATTCAGAATTTCAAAACTACCAAAAGGCACCAGTACACCACCAGACCAATCTATGTGCCAAGTTTGGAGAAGACATAGTGAACGGTTTTAGAGTTCAGCTCCGGAAAAGTGTACTACCACCAATTTCAGGTTAAGTCAAACTTGTTGCCACGGAAATGCCAAAAATATTTTATTCAGAATTCCAAAACTACCAAAAGGCACCACTACACCACCAGATCTATCTATGTGCCAAGTTTGGTGAAGAAATAGTGAACAGTTTTAGAGTTCTGCTCCGGAAAAGACAAATGTGCACGGACGGACTGAGTCCATTTTAATACCCCCTGCAAAATGTGTTGAGGGGGATATCAAATGATTGAGAGATGGAAGATGGCACTTATTTTCTATACTTATTCCACATTCCAGGTCTGGAGGATAGCATGACATTCTTATCTATGTATTGCAACATCAAACAAATTAATATATTCTGTGACAAGACAGATTTTCACAGGTCTGTGCTACAATCAGTAGACATGACCAACTACCCAAGTCTACCTGGAGTCCAGCACCGTTACATTTTGTTATCTAGCCAGCACAATACCCTACATATCACACCTGACAACAACATACCACAGCCACTATAAATAGCCTCATTATGGGCTGCCTATTGACTTTGTTTACATCAAGTGGGATCGAACATTGCCATGTCTTCAATAGGCCGTCACACCTCAATGCTTCCTGATCACGGTCAATGGCAGCATACTGATCTCTCTCCCTGGTAGGCCTAGTGTTGAGTTGGGCCAGTACCTGGGCAGGTGTCTGTGGGAGGGGATGTCTTGGGGGGACTTAGTGTCGTGACAGGACCTTACTTGTCGATGGTGGAAGGTGGGGTTGAGGGTAGGGAGTCGGTACAGAGTGTTCTGGAAGCAGACGTGTGTGTGTGGGTGGAACGTACTGTATTGTGTTGTGACAGTATTGGCATGGCTAGCACACAGACCTAGATACAGCCAGGACAGATCAATACCCATGTCGTGATAGTCGTCACAGCGGCATGCATCGAAGGATGAACACGGCTACACATGGATAGACATTTTCAATCAGTAATTGACTAGATCACATACCCTAGCAAACAAACAGAAGTGGATAATGAACATTACTTAGTGAAACGAAACACTGTGACACAGGTCACCTTAACATCATACAGCCAATCACTGACACCTGACCAAGTCAGATTGTCCCATGGGTACATAGGTAACCACTGATACTTGACTTGATCAAGTCATACATGATTGTCACACAGATAACCACTGACACTTGACTGGACCAAGTCATACATGATTGTCAAACAGATAACCACTGACACTTGACTGGACCAAGTCATACATGATTGTCACAGAGGTAACCACTGATACTTGACTGGACCAAGTCATACATGATTGTCACACAGATAACCACTTATACTTGACTGGACCAAGTCATACATGATTGTCACACAGGTAACCACTGACACTTGACTGGACCAAGTCATACATGATTGTCACAGAGATAACCTCTGACACTTGACTGGACCAAGTCATACATGATTGTCACACAGATAACCACTGACTGACTGACTGACTGGACCAAGTCATACATGATTGTCACAGAGGTAACCACTGATAATTGACTGGACCAAGTCATACATGATTGTCACACAGATAACCACTGATATTTGACTGGATCAAGTCATACATGATTGTCACAGAGGTAACCACTGACACTTGACTGGATCAAGGCATACATGATTGTCAGATGGGAAACCACTTGTAAAGTTTATTCAGCAACTTTCGCATTTTCAGCATATTCTGTATATTCAGCAGTTTTGTACAGTCGCCATTTTAGGTATATTTGTCATTTTAGACACATGCAGCATGTTCAATATAAAACACTTCAAAATATGCTCCACATTTACGATTTTCTCTCTCATTCATCATTCAATATGAATAAACCAATCAGATTCTTCAACATTGTTCAAAAGAATGCTTCTTGAGATTTTTTGGGGTACATTCCTAACACAGGCTGTAGGACTATCATCTCCCAGCAACATCGACAACCCTATTGGTAATGAGTCAACACAGGCCTCTGCTGTACATGTCCTTGTATTGAGGCACTCTGTACACAGGACCACTAACCTTTGCCTTCTTATGTAATATACTTGTGCCTGTGTCAGGCAACCATGTAACATCATAAACACTAAATGCTACTAATGCCGTAACGACATCTTGCGCTCCTTGTTTACATATACAGTACACTATGTCTATAATGTTCAGGGCTCGATTTGGTGCTTTGTTACTTGCAATATTACAAAGTGCAACCTAGTTACTAGTCTAACTTGCACCAGGTGCAAGTCAAGTTTTTGAGTGGGTATACTTCTAAATAACTGCATCTACTTATTGCTATAAAAACAGTGCAACTGGAATTAGGCTGGTGCAACTAGGTTTTTATCTTAGGTTGTACCTGGTGCAAGTAGGTTAACATCTCTTAAATCGAGCCCTGATGTTACTTTATTATGTACCTGACTGACTGACAAAATGAACTATTTATTGGTTTTCACCACCTTCTTCACAATTTATGCATAATGAACTATGGTTTGTGGTCCTTTAGAGTTGGTTATAACCATAGGTTACTGTATTCTCATGAAAAGTGAGTGAGTGAGTTTAGTTTATGCCACACTCAGCAATATTCCAGCTATATGGTGGCGGTCTGTAAATAATCAAGTCTGGGCCAGACAATCCAGTGATCAACAGCATGAGCATCGATCAATACCAATTGGGATACAATGACGCGTGTCAACCAAGTCAGCGAGCCTGACAACCCGATCCTGTTAGTTGCCTCTTACAACAAGCATGGGTTACTGAAGATCAATCCTCACTCAGACCTTCATGGGTCTTCTCATGAATATGGGTTTACGGGTCCAAATAAACTCTAAAACATATCAAACTGACAGATGAAATATACAGTAAGGAAACATTAGTATGTTGACAATTATTTGAAAATTGCAGATATATGAGTGACAAGTCCCTACATTTTGGCGTTGTTTCATAAACATGTTACATGCTGACTCCTGTCTTCATATTCCTTCTCACAACTTCCCCTTTCTGATTACATTTTTGTTAATATATATATTGCCAATGTAGTTGGCCCTTTGGAAGGTCCCTGGACACTATCATGGGTTCTCTCCAAATAATGCCCTGGAAACAATCACTACTTTATTTAGATTTAGTACTAAAACTAGGAGGATGCTGACACACAGTATCAGCTGCTTGAGTTTAGACTTTCTGTGTGGCTCCCGGACCCTCATTACATCCATACTCAGGATGGAGGAACCAAACAAAGTCATGTTTCAATCAACTTATTTTTCTGTACCTTGTTTCAGAAACAGAAATGCTAACTATCTTTAACTCCTACAGGTTCAACCCTGGTCAGTTATACAGACCGGGGCCTGACCCTGAAACAAATATATCCAAGAAAGCCCATGCAAGTCTAGAATAGGTGGCAGTAGAACTTCAGCAGTTTCTGAAAATGATGAAAGTCTCTGGAGTCATTTTCATCATATTTTATGATTATTTTTTATGAAGTTATTCTGTCAAATATATTCATTTCAGAGACGAGATGCTATTTTAGTTCAACCCCTTCCCACTGCTAACCACCCTGGTTGTAGTGGCAGCCATCCAACATGCCTGACACCTGTACCTAAGTCAGTGTAAACCAATTGCAACATGGTCTGTCAAGTACTGAAGTCTACTTCAAGTTTTGTAACAATGCTTCTTGTGTTTCCGTGTGCTGTCATCTAGGAAGTTAATGAAGGTATGATGTAATAGAGCATCCATGTGGCATGTCACATCTTGCACCATTTCCTGCAGGTGGTTGTAGAGGAAACAAGTGCTCTACATCTTCATGAACCTCTCTCCTTGCATCATAGAAAATCAGAAACAGCAACAGTTTGATTCTAGGCTCCGGGGCTTAATGACATTTGGAATAGATATTCAGCTACATCACAAAATGATATGGGAGAAAACATGAATTGATGTAGACTGTACCACTGTGGTGATACCCATGAGCAAGGTTTGGTGCTGATGCCTAGAAACAAAATCTGGGGAAACTAGGATTTGAACCCACAATCAGGGTTCCTGAACTTCCAAGGGACACAACTCTACACAGCAAATTGTAGGGCCTTAATAACTTAGCCTCCCGTGCCCTAGATTAGACACTGGTGCTGCTGCACATCTTACTGAAGAAAATGAATATTCACCATAAATAGTAACGAGCAGAAAAAATGCGACAAAAACTTTATTCCGTAGACTCGAACCTACTATCAAAAAAGCCAGTAGCTTGCCTCGTTGGTATGGAATTATCTCCCTTGGGTTCAGGGATGGCTTGATCACGTGACCTCGTTGCTTGCATACGATACCGAAGCTTTGCCATGACGTTACAAAACAACAGAAATCGACTCTTCGCATATTATGAAGCAGGTATTACATCCGTAACTAGACTTGTGAAACTGACGGGACTGCATCGGGCCTCTGTTTACCAAATTTGAAGAAGTTTGACTCGGGGTTAGGAACAGAGCGACAGGCTGGATCGGGACGTCGTGCTACTCTTTGGGTAAATGACAAAGACGTATCGAGCGTCTTGCGGCGGCGTACCCAAACTGGTCTGCAAAACAGCTTGCTGTGAAGGCGTCAAGTCAAGGAACCCCTAAGGTATCAGAATGGACAATCAGAAGATCTTTAAAGTAATCTGGATATGTCAAGCGAGTGCCGAAGAAAGTTCCATTGATGACAACAGCACATATGAAAAAAAGGCTCGAGTGCTGCAGGGAAATGCAGGGTACAGACTTTTCATATGTGACTTTTACGGACGAATCAAAGTTTCAGTTTTATAGGATCACAAGAAAGAGGTGGTCAAGAGGTGGACGTAGCTGCAAAATGGTTCCGAAGTTCTCACCCAGTGTCATGGTTTGGATTGGTATAGGCAAACTCGGGGTGACGCTGCTGCTAACTATTACAGGAAGGATGGATCACGCAAGTACTGTCAACTTATACAAGAAGGCATAGTGGAATCCCATATAGAACAGAGTGGAACCCTTTCAACTTTTACAGGACAATGCACCTGTACACAAGTCAAGACACACCTATAACTGGTTTGAAACGAGTCACGTGACCTTACAGAAATTTCCAGCGGCATCACCAGACCTGAACCCAATTGAAAATGCGTGGCAGATTATGAAGGACAAATTAGAAAAGTTATCGTTGAGTGGTCTAATCTCATCAGTCAAATATGGGTGGGCCTACCCCAGGACTACATAGACAATATGATTGACAGCATGGGACGCCGTATTCAGCAGTGCATCGAGAGAAACGGTGGACTAACAGACTATTGACTTGCATAAATGTAAATTTCAGTATCCAGAGTGGATGTATGAAAAAAATTCACTGAATATATCAGTAAATAAATTTTGAAACTATGTCTGTGAAAAGTCGCATTTTTTCTGCTGGTTACTGTACATGCTGTGCTAATGACCTATCCTGGATCTATCTGACCTACATACACTCGTCGTAAATAATTATATATGGCTAAACAATAGCACTGTTCTGATTAATTAAGTTTTTATGGATTATTGGTAGTGTTTTAAGTGTATAATTACAGACATCAAAGGATTTCTTATTTCCTTTTATTCTATGCAGATAATACGTACAAAGTAGTCGACTGAAGATTGAGTTTACTCTGCATAATGCTTTAAAGACAGGCAAAATAGGAGCATGTCTACAACCTATACTGTGACATGTGCTCTCTATACAAAAACTTCATGAACTAACGGTTAATGCATACCACTAAACAAAGTACCGGTAAATGATGAAAACTTAGATACATGACAAATTTTCAAAGCAGGAAGGGTTCAGTTTGGAAGATATGGACAGATAAACTTTGAAGGCATTGTGTCACTGTTTCACAGCCTTGCAAATCAGTCCAATTTACCTCAGAAATGTGTCAGTGTTGCAAAATATACAAGAAGACAAAGTCATCAATATTCCCTGCAATGGCAAAATACTCTTCATGATTATGTCTACGAGTTATGATTATGTAAAATATTTAGGTGTGTATATAGAAAAGTGGAAGGAGAGTATTGAAAGGTTTTGAAAGTTCTGCTCCAGAAAGGAGCACTATCACCAATTTAAGTCTAAGTCAAACTTGTTGCCATGGAAATTACAAAAATATTTTATTCAGAATTCCAAAACTAACAAAAGGCACCAGTACACCACCAGATCTATCTATGTGCCAAGTTTGGTGAAGAAATAGTGAATGGTTTTAGAGTTCTGCTCCTGAAAAGAGCACAACTACCAATTTCAGTCTAAGTCAAACTTGTTGCCATGGAAACGCCAAAAATATTTTATTCAGAATTCCAAAACTACCAAAAGGCACAAGTACACCACCAAATCTATCTATGTGCCAAGTTTGGTGAAGAAATAGTGAACAGTTTTAGAGTTCAACTCCGAAATAGAGCACTACCACAATTTCAGTGTAAGTCAAACTTGTTGCCATGGAAACGCCAAAAATATTTTATTCAGAATTCCAAAACTACCAAAAGGCACCAGTACACCACCAGATCTATCTATGTACCAAGTTTGGAGAAGAAATAGTGAACAGTTTTAGAGTTCAGCTCCGGAAAAGAGCACTACCACCAATTTCAGGCTAAGTCAAACTTGTTGCCATGGAAACGCCAAAAATATTTTATTCAGAATTCCAAAACTACCAAAAGGCACCAGTACACCACCAGATCTATCTATGTGCCAAGTTTGGAGAAGAAATAGAGAACAGTTTTAGAGTTCAGCTCCGGAAAAGAGCACTACCACCAATTTCAGGCTAAGTCAAACTTGTTGCCATGGAAACGCCAAAAATATTTTATTTAGTATTCCAAAACAACCAAAAGGCACCAGTACACCACCAGATCTATCTATGTGCCAAGTTTGGTGAAGAAATATTGAACAGTTCCGGAAAAGACAAATGTGCACGGACGGACGGACGCAAGCACGGACAGAGTCCATTTTAATACCCCCCGCAAAACGCGTTGCGGGGGATAACTATAGCAATAACTGTATTACTTCTTTGAGAGGCATTTTAGAAGTTGTGAAGATGAAGGAAAACCAAGTTCTATGGATAGTCAACTCTTTATTGCAATGAGAGCGATGTTTCGGTGTAGGTTCAACACCGTTATCTTCACTTCCTTGATAACGGTGTTAGTACCTAAATGTTGCACTCATTATAAAGAAGTTGACTATCCATTGAACTTGGTTTTCCAATAACTGTGTTAGTTGTCAAATGAAAGGGTTCAGATTTTATACACTTTTTACATGCTGAAAAATTGGAAAAAGAATTTAAGGTTGATGATGATTTCTCTGTATCACATGGATGAATGACAATTAATTGCTGCATACACCAATATTGAACCTAATAAAACTTTTAACACTGTAATTATCCAGCAATGGCACCATGGTAACAAAAAAAACATACCTGACAATATTTTCGTGTTCATATTTCTCCAGTTGTTTCAGCAATGCGATCTCCCTGATGGCGCTCATGGGCATGCCTTCCTCTGTGTTGGGGATCCGGGATTTTCTTCATGGCCACAAACTGTCCATCACACTTGAGGTCACGGGCCTTATACACGGTCCCATATGCCCCATTACCGATAACTGCTACCTCCTCATACTTCTTCTCACTACTGTCCCGACGACTCCTTGTCCGATTTGATGACTCATTTTGATTGACATGGTATTTGGAAGCTGCTGCTGTTTTCATTGCTTACATCGTCAACATTTAGCATCCATAGGAGCAGGTTCTGGAAGAACACAAAAAGTCTCGATCAATATAAACACAAGATCGGTGGAATTGTGAACAAAGAGGATACATGCATATGTGACATACATACACTTGAGTGTGTCTTTCCACTAGAGCTGGGACGTGTGGGTAATGAGTTGGACCCAGGTACCCGTCTCAATACCCGGGCCTGTTATGATCATGTGACTAATAGATTAAACAATGTAATATGTTATACTTTCATGATTAAAAGGTTGTTTTGTCTTTGAAGATTTAGACAAAATTGTGCAGTCACCGGTTTTGAACATAATACATGGTTAAGATATTGAAAAACTCGAAATGGTAGCCTCCGAGCTGAAAAATATATTGCCATTTCTTACAAGTTTGATGTCAGGAATTAACATAACGGGTATCCGGGTAGGGTAGGGAAATAGGGGGTGGGATACCCGGGTAGAAAATTTGGACCCATCCCAGCCCTACTTTCCACGTATCATACAGTTCTTAAACTTAAAGTGTTACTACCATGAGGTTCATAAAGTGTGGAAGATACCAACATCTTAAGTTGACATAGTATTTCAGATACAACATGTTTTGCCAGTTCCATGTGGAAGGACAGACTCATGCAGGTTTTTTGTTTGGTGAAACGTACAGGCAGTGGTATGGAACAGAGAAACGACAGAACAAGACTCAGTGTCTTGGACTTGAACCCATGAACATCTCATGTTTCGGTCACACATTCAACTCTGAATTGTGAATTATTACATACAGATTCAGAGAACACATGCATACAGCAGACAGATCATGTTACAGATTTGTATTACAGTACAAAGCCCTGCTGTTCCTTGTGTCTTGCTTCACTTGCAGCGTTCGTTCATCACGCTGAAGACCCAGATTTGATTCCCCACATGGGCATAATGTGTGAAGCCCATTTCTGATGTCCTCCGCCTTGATATTGCTGGAATATTGCTAAACACGGCGTAAAACCATACTCACTCACTCATGTGCAATCCAAACATTCAAGGGCAGGTAATTCTGACTACACCTCGGGGACAGCAATGAATACTTCAACAAATAGTATAACCCTCTCACAATCGCTAAACCACAGAAAGTCCAGATTTCGTCTCTGTGAAACTTTGAACTCACTGGGATTCCTGTCAGTTTGAATGGAGTTATTTGTTTGTACCACACTTATATACATTCAGAAACTAGGCATTACTATACAACTAGTGCTATAAATACCTTTCAATACAATTCCGACATGTATCTGAATGAGGGTAGTGTCCATAAGGAAACAGAAAGGGCATGAACAAAACTCTTATGAATGACACAAAGTTTTGACACTATTTTACTGTTTTATTCCTAAACATGATATGTACATGATGCATCAACATGGATATTCTAGGATGTAAGACGAATGAGAAAAAATAAATTTCTTTGTCCATCTTACCCGTGAAGATCCGGGTTAGAATATTGATCTTCAGTAACCCATGCTTGTCGTAAGAGGAGTCTAACGGGATCAGGTGGTCAGGCTCGCTGACTTGGTTGACACATGTCATCGGTTCCCATTTGCGTAAATCGATGCTCATGCTGTTGATCCCTGGATTGTCTGGTCCAGACTCGATTATTTACAGACCGCTGCCATATAGCTGGAATATTGCTGAGTGCCGCGTAAAACTAAACTCACTCACTCAATCTTTGTCCATCTTAATGATTTTTTAAGTCTGGTGGCATACACAGTTTAGAGGCTTTATGTCTTTCTTGTCAAAGGACACATCTCTTCAAAAGGTGTATCACAAGAGACAAACTGTCACAAGAAGAGATAAAAATCTTATTTGACAAGAAAGACAAATATTCTCTAATCCATAAACATTTAATGGTTTTTCATACTGCTCTTTACTATGGTACCATGGAAACCACAGGATTCTATCTAGGCAGCCAAACTGATAGAGAATATAAACTTCAAATTAGGACCTTCTTACAAATCGTTTTCCTGTAGTCTGAGGTACTTATCATTGCATTTAGTGCCAAAATGTAGATATTACATATGTGTCTCTCCTCTCAGCTGTCCCATTATCAGAGGTCTACTGGTTACTGCTAGAAAACCAGAACATTTACCTTTGACGTCATTAACATAAATTGTGAATTCCGTGTGTGAATGATAGCTTGACCTTTGGTGCAGACATGAGGTGAATATCAACCTGTGAGCAGGTCTAGATTCAACCCCTGGGGCCTTCATAGTGTCAGTGTTGTGTCACTCAAGCAAGACATTTTATTACATATTTGAGATTAATACAATATTTCTTCACAAAATACAAAATGTATACACTTCAATTATGTCTTACTTATATCAACTTTAACGGTATTGGGTTATAAGTATTAATGTAGTCACTTGAAAAGCATAAAAATTACCTAATATAAAAAAAATGAAAGCTATTTAACTCAAGCTGCACTTCCTGAAGACACTTGGCTCAAGATCGAGCTTTGAAAGGGTCTTGATAGTTCCTTGAAAACTTGTTCATTGCAAACACACTGGTCTTGTTGAAGTCAAACTATAATGAACGTCCAAGAAGATAAGAACAAGTGAATGTTTCGGGCTCCTTTTCAAATTGAGCCTTGTTGCTTGTTTGTATCAAAATTATGTATATAATCATTTAATGGAATTTAAGCCATACTATAAGCACATGATACCGATGCCAAGTTTGAACAGAATCATTCAAGTCACAACCACACTGTTTCAAGTTACAGATCAAGGGGAACCTGGATCAATTCAGGAAAACATCAAGGTTCCCCTGAATTTCAAACACGCCTCACTGTCTGTTACATCTGTGATATCCCGAAACAGCATCCCCAGAGTGAAGAAGGTGAAGTGGTCACCATCCTTGTACTGACATCCCGACAGCTCCATCATCTCAACATGTGGGGTCCGTAACACACACCTTGATGCTGATAGCAAGGGTTATCTCCCTGTCTTCAGTGATAAATTTGAAAGATACAAGTCCTGGATGTCCAGCCTCCTGAAGCCTGAGTGATCATGTTGATGAACCATGCATTAATCACTTGCTAGTTGCGTTGGCAGTCTGCTAGATCTGCCAGTCTGATATCTGTTACTGACAGACGATTTCTACTGAACACAAGTATGTGAGAGTAGAGGACTTTCAACATGGTTGTACCCAGATCTTGTTCATAAGAAACCAGTGTTCAGTTTCTTCCAGAATAAACAATGAATAAAACATAGCCATCTGCATGATTGAATTTCATCAAGTTCTTGGTTTATAAAGCGATGGTAGCTAAATTGATTTTAACTTCCATATTTAAACAAACTGTCCTAACTAATAAATTTATATTGGATCTGGACCAGCACTTTTCACTGAATTAAGCGCGAAACATTGATGTTATGACTTTGTATTACACCTTAATGAGTGATATTTCTTATATAATGTTTTCTTCATTCTCTGAAAGACGTGAATATGTTGTTTCACCTGTAATCTGCAATAAGTCTGAGGTCACACCACTGTGGTGCTAGTGCGAGAGAGACTGGTTATCCAAGTCAGAACTAGCATTAAGTATTACCAGAATCCGAAAAATGAATAATTTTATGATTGAAAGGATCTGGGCGTTTATCAACACTATTATGTTACTATCTCTGATATATCCCACTCATTTTAACTATGCCCATCTTTTGATAAACATGTTCTTTACCCATGCCTTCATGAGTGAGTGAGTTTAGTTTTACGCCGTACTCAGCAATATTCCAGCTATATGGCAGCGGTCTGTAAATAATCGAGTCTGGACCAGACAATCCAGTGATCAACAGCATGAGCATCGATCTGTGCAACTGGGAATCAATGACATGTGTCAACCAAGTCAGTGAGCCTGGCCACCCGATCCTGTAAGTCGCCTGCCTTGATGACTTGGAACTAATTGTAAGACAATAGATAATGCTCTCATGCTATGGGATTTCTCACTCTGTGTTGAAACGTTCTTGTGCACTGACTGCTATCATATTTATTGCCATTTGATGTCAATGTCATCATTAAGGAAGTTAATACACAGCAATGAATGAAGTCGCATCTTGATCAGTGCAGACATACATGGAGTATCCACATTATCACAGATAAGTACTGACAGTGCAGTTTTGTGCGTCCTAGTAGAATATCATATGACACAGATGTCACTGTCGGGAAATGACGTTTCAACTCTGGAAACTCATCCAGGCATTTAAGATGAACATATATCTGCAGTTAAGCCATTAAATCCGCTGACTAGAAGGGAGTGGTAGTGTCCCAGCAGATCAGATGTCAGCAGAATGACATGATCATTTTTGGTCCTACTAAGTTTCAGTCACGTAGTTTTAAAGTCTGAGATTGGCCGAGTGTGAATCGATAAGTCTTGGTTCAAACTTCACTTGATTTCTATTTTTAAAGTTTTGCAAAACTGATTTTAGTCAGGAAATAGAACAGCTACTTTCACATTTCAGGTAATTAATGATATTCAAAACATTAATGAGGTTTCTCGCACCCACTGGAAAATTTTTAAGGACATGAAACTAGACATAGACATGATGTATGTACAATTTCGACACTTTTGCCATTTTGAATAGTATGTGTTATTAATATGGGCTGTGAAATTACATTTGAAGCATTTTCGAGTCGACTTTAAGTCTAAACCAACTTCCTTTGTACTCTCTGAGATGAACTTTGACTTATTGCCCTAAAATGAATAATTTTTCCGAGTGAACGCATTATCAGAACGTTACACTGGTTATCATGGTGAAACGGGTTCATGGTTGTACTGTTGTTTAAACTTGTTATAAATTACGGTCTCAAGCATATCTCGTAGATCCAATTGTAGCAAATACAGAAAGGCTTCCAAATTTTAATATACACGATTATTACAGGAAATGATCTCAGTAGGACTGGTTATTCGATTCTGATCTGACGAAAAACGGTGACTTTTGGTTCACGTTATTGTTGTTCAGAATTGTCAACAATAGTCGAGTGCGACAATGACACATATCTAGGTTCTGGCTCTAACAAATTCCTGTAATCATATACCTGACTATACCATATTAAAATCTGAGTAGGAATCTTACGGTATCAATGTTGATGTCCAGTCAACCAATAGTGGTCACACATGTATCCTGACCTGAGGTCCGAGACCCATGTTCCGACCACACAACGCTGATCGCCACGACGGTAGATCTATCAACACACGGGTCGATAACTGGAAATTCCTCAGCGTTCGGACTTAAGCTTGACAAAATCTAAACGTAGATACGTGAAATCCACACATAAACTGGCGGGTCGTTTAGCCTCAGATATGGCGTTTCAACGACTAACAGGTGTCCTTTTGATTGAGGTGACTGCACATTCCTTTGGTCCCCGTGCTGGTAGTGTCAACGCTTGTATGCAAATCTGTATGAATGAACACTGTCGACACACAGCACTTCAAAGCGTGTGTGGCTCGAAGCTAAATTCCGTAGATCTTATGGTTTTCGACAAGGAAATCCTATCGCAAAAGATGCACAGGACCCCATTGCATCGTTTTATGGAAATAATATAAGGAAAATGTACTTACCCGATTTATCTTGAATATTTTTCCACTTTTTTCACCCAGTTCAACCCGTCAGTACAGTATGTATGGGAGTACCACGTGTGCTATTTCCTGTCAATGCTTAAGCCTGATTGGTGGTTATTTTCTACCACCCAACATCGGAGTCAAAGGTCACAACCTCGTTTTCAATCTAAGTTGCGCGGTCCCTTTGTCAAGACAGTAAAGATTAATCAATTATTAATCAGAAATTGAAACACAGTTGAATTTCTTTAATATCTAGGCTTATTTGGGTCGATTTGCCATAAAGAGTCTTATTCCGGGATATTTTTGTTTTATTTCGCTTTTGTTATTTTCAACATCCCGTTGTAGCAGGTGGTTTACGAACCGGAGTCGGTTAAGGCGGCAGAGCATCTTTACATTGCCTTTGTCCCGTCGAGAAGCGGAAGATGGAGTAAGTTTGGGACAGGGACGAGTTGCAGTTATAATAGGAGCTGTTCCCTGGCTCGTCAGTTGCACTATTGCATCTAATCAACTAGATACTCATTAAAGGCAAGATATAAACGGTACAGAATCCATAACGATCCATCTTTAAAAGAATAAAGAAATTGTCATCCAAAAAATATCTTGCCTTTATTGTTACTCCCCAATTTCTAAAATATCAGTCAAATAGATCCTACAGATGGTCATTCATTGAACGAATCCTTTCTGTTCACCTTTCATTTTTGTATATATATTTAACAATGCTTTGACAGGGGTGCACACTATTGAGAAAGGTGGGGTGCACACTTCATTTTCACGGGAGTTTCAATGGTCATTTGATAAAATTTCAGGACAAAAGGGAGGGTGCGCACACCTGCACCCCCGCCCCCTCTGGATCCGCCTATGTTTGATATTATGTGAGTTGCTTTCATACGATAGAAAAAAAATATATAGGGGGACAATATGTGACTAAACCGCCCCTGTCAGTCGCGATGCTGTCAGTTCCTTTGACATTGTTTGAAAAAATAATAATATTAATTTTTTTTATTATAGGATATTTATATAGCGCACATATCCAGGCAACTAGTGCGCTGGTATCATTAGCGATGTAGATTGATATTGATATGCGTATAATTCGAGTTCTTAAACAAAAACAAATGCAACCAACCCTCATCCCCGGTGGCAGTGACTGTCGATAACTGACTGGGTACGTTTTACTCGAGAAGTGTACGCCGTAAACAAATAAATCACTTTAGTCTTTGTACCTACCTTGCCGGGGCGGTAAGATCAAAGGGTCGAGACAGGTATGTTGTGACGTAACTCACATTCTTACTTCACAGGTATATACATGCCTGTACTGTACGTTCTTCGTGTTGTATCAAGGCGTTTATGATGAATCCATGGCTATGCTCGATACGGGAATTAAGTGGACGTATCCAAAATACATGTTGTTACATTGGCGGATCCAGAGGGAGAGGGGTGTGTGTGTGTTTCGACCGACACCCACCCCCACCCCCGCCCCTCTTGAAAATTCCTGGACCCACCTATGCTGTATATACACTCCATAGTACTACAACAAAACACCTGTCTTAACAAGTAAATAAATTCATTACAATTTCAACATGTAGTATTTCGTATTTTAATTGTATTTGTATGGGTAAATATTTTACAATAGCCTCTGGGGATTGATTTAACATGGATCAGTTTAGTTCGTCCTCTTCACATTCAACTTCAAAGCTTCTTTTAAATAGATTAATTGTACGGAAGTAAAACGAACACTACACTCCCGATTACATATACACACATCATTCAGATGACTGACAATTTGCGGGAATCGCTGATTGGTATTGAAGGCGTTGACGTATTATAGTCACGCGCAACAGCACTGCATGGCCACAACTTCCTCATCAACACCCGCGCGCAGATCGATGTCCGCGTGGCCCAAGCTTGCTCCGGCCATTTTCTGTTCGTTCGTCGGAGGTATTTGTTTTTACTGTCACTTCTTCAGGGCATACCTGTACTGTTTTTCAATACATTGAATATCACATATGGTACTGAGGCGCGTTCTAAAATACGGGCCAAGAAAGCGTGACCGGATTGAACCCTGATAGCATTCCAGACGTTATAGCCCAACGTTGACCCAACGTTGGCAATGGTTTTGCCAACATTGCCAACGATGGGCGAACGTCCGAATGCTATCTGGGCAGCGGGTAATACGAACATGGACTGCTATACGTGGTATGTGCTTTGTCGCGCCTACATCATATGAGTGAGTGAGTTTAATTTTACGCCGCACTCGGCACTATTCCAGCTATATTGCGATGGTCTGTAAATAACCGAGTCTGGACCAGACAATCCAGTGATCAGTAGCATGAGCATCGATCTACACAACTGGGATATGATGACATGTGTCAACAAAGTCAGCGAGCCTGACCACCCAATCCCGTTAGTCGCTTCTTACGACAAGCATGGGCTAATGAAGATCAATTCTAACCCGGATCTTCACGGGTAGCCTACAAATGAGCAATACGTGGATACATGGATATCTGCATGAGTGAGTTTAGTTTTACGCCGCTTTTAGAAATATTCCAGTAATGTCACCGTGGGGGACACCTGACATGGGCTTCACACATTGTGCCCATGCGGGGAATCGAACCGGGACCGGTCTTCAGCGTGATGAGCGAGCTCTTTAAACATTAGGCTAAACACACACACACACATACACACATAGTGGCCACATCTATAAACACCCTTGAACAGTGGCCACATCTATAAACACCCTTGAATAGTGGCCACATCTATAAACACCCTTGAATAGTGACCGCATCTATAAACACCCTTGAATAGTGGCCACATCTATAAACACCCTTGTATAGTGGCCACATCTATAAACACTCTTGTATAGTGACCGCATCTATAAACACCCTTGAATAGTGGCCACATCTATAAACACCCTTGAATAGTGGCCACATCTATAAACACCCTTGTATAGTGACCGCATGTATAAACACCCTTGAATAGTGGCCACATCTATAAACACCCTTGTATAGTGGCCACATCTATAAACACTCTTGTATAGTGGCCACATCTATAAACACACTTTGTATAGTGGCCACATCTATAAACACCCTTGTATAGTGGCCACATCTATAAACACCCTTGAATAGTGACCGCATCTATAAACACCCTTGAATAGTGACCACATCTATAAACACCCTTGAATAGTGGCCACATCTATAAACACCCTTGTATAGTGGCCACATCTATAAACACACTTGTATAGTGACCGCATCTATAAACACCCTTGAATAGTGGCCACATCTATAAACACTCTTGAATAGTGACCGCATCTATAAACACCCTTGTATAGTGGCCACATCTATAAACACCCTTGTATAGTGACCGCATCTATAAACACCCTTGAATAGTGGCCACATCTATAAACACCCTTGAACAGTGGCCACATCTATAAACACCCTTGAATAGTGACCGCATCTATAAACACCCTTGTATAGTGGCCACATATATAAACACCCTTGAATAGTGGCCACATCTATAAACACCCTTGAATAGTGACCGCATCTATAAACACCCTTGTATAGTGGCCACATCTATAAACACTCTTGCATAGTGGCCACGTCTATAAACACTCTTGCATAGTGGCCACATCTATAAACACTCTTGCATAGTGACCGCCTCTATAAACACCCTTGTATAGTGGCCACATCTATAAACACTCTTGTATAGTGACCGCATCTATAAACACCCTTGAATAGTGGCCACATCTATAAACACCCTTGAATAGTGGCCACATCTATAAACACCCTTGTATAGTGACCGCATCTATAAACACCCTTGAACAGTGGCCACATCTATAAACACCCTTGAATAGTGGCCACATCTATAAACACTCTTGTATAGTGACCGCATCTATAAACACCCTTGAATAGTGGCCACATCTATAAACACCCTTGAATAGTGACCGCATCTATAAACACCCTTGTATAGTGGCCACATATATAAACACCCTTGAATAGTGGCCACATCTATAAACACCCTTGAATAGTGACCGCATCTATAAACACCCTTGTATAGTGGCCACATCTATAAACACTCTTGCATAGTGGCCACATCTATAAACACTCTTGGATAGTGGCCACATCTATAAACACTCTTGCATAGTGGCCACATCTATAAACACTCATAGTGGCCACATCTATAAACACCCTTGTATAGTGGCCACATCTATAAACACCCTTGTATAGTGACCGCATCTATAAACACCCTTGAATAGTGGCCACATCTATAAACACCCTTGAACAGTGGCCACATCTATAAACACCCTTGTATAGTGGCCACATCTATAAACACTCTTGTATAGTGACCGCATCTATAAACACCCTTGAATAGTGGCCACATCTATAAACACCCTTGAATAGTGACCGCATCTATAAACACCCTTGTATAGTGGCCACATCTATAAACACTCTTGAATAGTGGCCACATCTATAAACACCCTTGCATAGTGGCCACATCTATAAACACTCTTGCATAGTGGCCACATCTATAAACATTCATAGTGGCCACATCTATAAACACCCTTGTATAGTGGCCACATCTATAAACACCCTTGAATAGTGACCGCATCTATAAACACCCTTGAATAGTGGCCACATCTATAAACACCCTTGAATAGTGACCGCATCTATAAACACCCTTGTATAGTGGCCACATCTATAAACACCCTTGTATAGTGGTCACATCTATAAACACCCTTGAATAGTGGCCGCATCTATAAACACCCTTGAATAGTGGCCACATCTATAAACACCCTTGAATAGTGGCCACATCTATAAACACCCTTGAATAGTGACCGCATGTATAAACACCCTTGAATAGTGGCCACA